GGATAATCCAGAATGCTCTCCCTATTTTAAAGTCAGCAGTGAGCAAATTTAATCCTCTTTTTCCCTGTAAGGTAACCTATTCACAGGTTCCAGGGATCAGGATGTGACTATCTCTGCATGGACTGGGAGCATTACTCTGCCTGTTCCACAGGGTAATGGATCCTAAAGGGAATCCTGGCAAGGGGATCCCTCAAATGAAAGGATGGGACAAGTGCTTGTGGACACAGTATTGTCAAACGGAAGTGTTAGATGTTATCACTGCAAGCTACCTGACATATATTATTAACTCATATTGATCTTGGCAGACAATAAAACCTTTTGATGTTTTTTCCCATGACTAAGCAGAATATCCTATTTTGTACTTGTGTGGTTTTAATCTTCAATTTGAACAAAGGGATTTTCATATATTTGTTCAATTTGATCTTCAGATTTTAGCTCAAAGTTCAAATTGGTCATATAATTTTGTTTCCTGGTTCTGTCTTAAGTCATATTTTCTATGCTATGTAGGTTTTGCTTCAACCTGATTTGACCTGAATGATTTTTATGTCTTCACCTTATTTTAGAGTGTCATCCACAAATATCATGAAAAAGTTGAATAAATAAGTTGGCTGAAATTAACTTATACCATGACTATACAATTCCCATTTTAACTCAAAGATCAAATGAAATAAGTGTAGTATGACTTACCTTTAGTCTGGTTTTCAGTGACCACCAAATTGTCTTCTAAATGTTCACAAAATATATTTAATCATGTACTCTGAACTTTTATTTTTTTGTTCTAAAGTTTTTAGTGTCTACCTTTACCACTTTTTTAAAGCAGGTGATCTATTATCTTTCTCATTTTTTATGTTTCTCTGAACTTCCCAGCAACGTAACAGGTCTTAGGTTACCTGTAAACAGCTGTGGGATGTAATTGTGCCTGGAAACACAAACTTATTAGAAACAGATAGGTATTCCCATACTATCTCCTCACCTTTCTTGCGTTTCAGTCCTTTTTCTACTTTGTCACATCTTCACTTTAAAGTCCATTTTGTTTACTGAAGAGGCAAAGAACAGGCAGCAATCCAGTCATCTCTTTTTTAGTCTTTACCTTATTCTCTTAGGTGAATTGGTTACCTTTTGTTTGTAAAAACCTGTGCAGGCTTGTATCTCTCTGCCCTTTAATAGATTCTCCATGCTGGTGAATGCAATCTGCCCGTCTTTTCTCCTGAAGTTAACAGGTAACTCCATTCTCAATGATTTCTCTATCGTACTTAATAGTTTGCACCACACTTTAAGAGTGGAATAAATATTACCTTCCATTTAATGCTCTTTAATTGTTATTATAATTTTTTTGTCTTTCATAATCATTGTTGATTTCTTCACCTTTTTCTGGGCGCATCTGCAAAGCTGGAGTTCTTGCTGCGCGGGAGTACTAGGCACACACTATATACTGGTTGGTTCCTTGGTTGAGATTTTAAATATCGAATTTGGCTATCTTCAAATATTAATCTCCTTGACTAATTTTCCTGTCCAAAAAAACACAAAGAAAGAATGTAGTACTTGAATTCTTTTTGGTGTAGTAAAAACAAGAGTAACAATAATAGTAGTTGTATTGAAAACTAAACAAACTAAGTCAATCTGTCTTCAACCTTCCACCAATTATTAATTAATCAACACTTCTCTAAGCTGTCTAATAACAATCTCAGCCACATTTGAGATGGTAGTTTGGACTTTTATTGTTAAAGATGCAAGACTTTCTTTCTACTTTTTCAGTCAATACTGTATTTATTTGTCCTGCCTTACTCTAGAAAAATATACCAATTTGAAATTCTTTGAAATTTTATACCTAATTTAAACCTTGAATTTAGAAACTACATCACTTCTCTTGGCAACTTTTTTTAGCTTGTAGAAATGGTAAATGTTTAAAAACAAATAGTAATAAAGACTGTTCAATAGTAATAGACTTTAAAAGTGGTATATGTAATTTTCAATAATCAAAATAATGTTCTGTTTTAACATCAGGAAAGAAAATACCCTAACAATTTAGCAATTTTGCTCTTAGTTTTGGCTAAAATAACATAAGAAATCTATTATAAAGCTTTGGTCTCTAGCAAGTAAAAACACAACACAAATAGAATACATTGTTCACCAGCAGGAGGTTAGGATATGGGGTGGAGTTTAGGATAGCCAGCCTAATTCTCTTTCTCTACATTAAATATTGTCAAAATTCCAGTTAGCTGTTTATTTTGTTCAGCTAGGCAACTTGTTAAATCTCAACCTATGCCTTCTATGATCTATGTATTCCCATGTGATTTATTTGTCTAAAAATCTATTAATGAGATATGGGGATTTGGTTTGCCACCATGACAACCGAGCAGTATGGCTTGTTTGCTATTTCCTAGATACTGAAGCTCTGAAGGAACATCTTCCCTGAAGCTGCTTATTAAGTACTGAGACCTGGTAACTATGGAAATTTAGATTGAGATTATGCAGCTAAATTATTTACAAGGTACACACACACAGTCTGATGAATAGACTGCTCAAAGAGACAGTAAAATATGTCACGGCCAGTATATTACTTTCTAGTAGTCTGCTTATTTAAAAGGTCTTATTTAGTATCCTGTTATTCCCACAATCATGTTATCATCATAATTTTGTCATCAACTCATAAGAAGACTTTAATATCTTCCAATTATTTTATGTGGCAGATTTTGTTGGGTGAGTGGTGACATTGTGCAGGTATAATAATGACAACAGTTCTCATATATTCTTGTACATGTGTTTTCTCCTCAGTAGTATTATCAACATTTACTGCACACTATGATGCATAAGACCTGGACATTTAAATTACTATATGAAAAAGCTCTTTATCTCAAACTACTTAAAATTTAATCGATGAGAACAAGATGGTAGCCTGTGTGCAGTTGAGAGGAAGGAGAGATCATTTTGTCGGAGTGATGAGTTTCAGAGAAGAATTGGGTTTTGGTCATGTTATCTTGAAGCCCAAGCAGACAGAATGAATGATAAAATAATACAAGGGTAGGAAACTCAGAGGAAACAAATGTCTGGAATAGTGGTAGAAATGGTGAGTAGACTTCTGAAGTTAAAGCAAATCGAGTTTATCTAGTGAGAAGTACAATTGAAGAGCTGAGGTGAATATGTATTTCAGTAACAGATTTTTACCAAGTCTATTTACCTTTGATCTCCATATATTTACTTGCCAACAAATCTTAGACCATTAGGAGTGCATTCTTCTGAATTTGTAACTGAAATGTCTTAGATATTTCAAAAGAGAAAAACTCTATGATGAATAGTCTTTATTATCTGCCTTCTTCAGTTTTCTGATGTAGTTTCTAGGACATTCTGTTTCCCTTTCCCCCCACTCCCACTGCCAGATATTTTTTTTAGGGCATTTATTTATTTATTAAAATATCATTGATATATGCTCTTATGAAGGTATCAGATGAAAAACATTGTGGTGACTACATTCACCCATATTATCAAGTACTCCCCGTACACCACTGCAGTCACTGTCCATCAGCATAGTAAGATGCCACAGAGTCACTACTTGTCTTCTCTGTGCTACACTGCCTTCCCTGTGACGCCCCCCCACCATGTGTGCCAATAATACTCCTCAATCGCTTTCTCCCTCCCTCCCCACCTACCCTCCCTCACCCCTTCTTGGAGTCTGTGAGTCTGCTATTCTGTTCCTTCAGTTTTGCTTCGCGTTATACTCCACAAATGAGTGAAATCATTTGGTACTTGTCTTTCTCTGCCTGGCTTATTTCACTGAACATAATACCCTCTAGCTCCAGCCATGTTGTTGCAAATGGTAGGCCTTGGTTTTCTTCTTATGGCTGAATAATCTACTGACAGATTTTTAATCACCATGGATTCTGCTCTCTTTGAATTTCCTACATAATCTATGTGTAAAAGCATGAATAAAACTTGATTCTTTGATTTTTTTTCTTTGTGTTTTGGTAGAACTTTGCATCAGAGTGGCTGTTGGGGAGACTAGTTTAAAATGTGAGAAACAGGGAAAAAATGTAAATTCCTAAAAAATACTTGATGTACACAAGATTATGGAAGTTTTAAAACATCTTTAAATAAGTTCCCAAAAGTAAAGAACTGTACAAAAAAGTGTGACCATACAGAAATCTTGGGAGGAAGATCTTGTAATGCTAGTGTTGTGAGCTTTTTTTTTTCCTTTTCAGTAACTTTTGACCATTTAGGTCAGTTGGGCAATAAAACAGAACAGCAGTTTATATTTTTAACAAAAATTAGTGCTGTTTAGTATCTCTCATGATGCCTATGTCTCAGGCCGTTTGGAAAATTCAGGATCCACCACATTCCCAGACTCTCATGAGGACAGTTTAGCAACTGAAAGCACCCTCAGTGTCCTAGGTCGGTGTCTGATGGGGGAAAGAGGCAGCAGTTATGACAACGAACACGCTGCACCCTGGGCACTGCGGCGGGAACCGAAACGCAGCCCAGGTGGGGCCTGCTCGGAGGCCGGCAAACAGAAAAAAGGTTCCCCGACACCGGACGGGGCCGGGAGGCAGAGGAGAGGGCAGCGGGCCACGGTCACACGCTAGGAGGCGGCAGGGTCTGGACAAAACGCGAGCCCCTGACTTCAAGCCCGCTGTTTCTGACGGGGACTCCAGGGAAGGCGCAGCGACGTCCCCACGGTGGCGGCGGCTCCCAGGTGCCCAGAGTCCGGGCACCGAGCCTCGTCACAGGCTCCTGCGGCTCTGCGGCGGGGCAGGCGAGCGCGCGGGACTCCCGCTCGCCCCGCCCCCTCTGAGCCCCGTCCCCAGGCGCGCTCCCCTCGCGGGCGCCGGGCACGCCCACCCTGCGCCGCGACGCGCAGGGCCGAGCGGCGGGAGCGCGCGCGTCCGCGGGGGCCGTCCTCTAGGAGCTCCGCCCCCAGGGGCGTTCGGCGGGCGGCAGAGCTGGGCTTTCTGCGCGCTCCCGGCCCTGCGGCGCTGGGAAGCTCGGGGCCGAGCGGCGGGGGCGCGCGCGCGCGCGCGCTCACTTCCAAGCTCCGTCCCGCGCGCGGTGCACGCTGGAGGAGCGCGTCCGGGCCTGACCGCGCTGCGGCTCCGGTCCTGAGGTGAGGAGGGCGCCGGGGCGCGCCCGAGGGGGGGCCCCGCTCTCCGGGAGGGAGCATCGAGGAGGGACCGCGGCGGGGAGGTCGGCGAGAGGGGCGGCGGGGCGGGGAAGGAGCCGGGAGCGGGGGCTAAGGGGCGGGGTGCGACGGGGGCCGAGCTGCCGGGACACGGAGCTCCCGGGTCGGGGTTTGCCGGGCGCGAGCCGGGCGCGCTCCCCGGGGTGTTGGCCTGCGAATGCCGAGGGGCCGAGGTACCAGCGCCCGACTGCAGGTGGGACGCGGTCGCCTCCTGCATCGGCACCGCTAGAGAGCGAGGGGAAATGTTCTGGAAGTAAATTTCCCTGCGAACACCTGGGTAATTAGCGCTCGCCATTCCCCGGGGCTCTCGTGTTGGTAGCTCCGGTGCGTGCTGAGAGCTGAGGGAGGTGCGAACGCGCAGGTCTCGTGACCCGCTGGTTCCCAAAACACCGGGAAGAGCCCCGGGCGGGAGCCCATCTCCGCTGGTGGGAAAGCTGGGCAGGCTACGGGCTCCGATCTCGGCCGGAGGCGGTACTGGTTTACCGGGGTTTCTGCTGTGCTCCTGAGGCTTAGATACGCTTTTTGAAAAAAGTAAGTAAGAAAAAATAAAGATAATCAGGTGTGCTTTCTATCGAAGACGTTCTAAAAGAACAGAAGGGGAGAAAAGTTGGCTCCCAACTGTGAGCCAGTCTCAGTTTTATCTCGTTTTATCCTGACAGCAGCCCTTTGAGGTTGGAGGTTTAATCTAGTTGGGAACAAATGGAAAATAGGTCACAAAAAGGTTAAGTCACTCCTTAAGATCTCCAACAAGCAAAAAGGTAGAACTGAGATTCCAACCCAGGTATGCCAGACTCGAAATTCTGGTGCTTTATCCACTATATTTGGAGTCCGCCCAGAGATCGTTAATTACGTATATTTAGGGACAGGAGAACATTATTAGGGCTCTGGGTATTTGTGTTAAAATCAAAACAACATGGCATTAATCCTGGAATATGTGCTGTGTAAGTGCATTTTCCATCGAACAGGGAATTCATATATTCTTGGAAAAAGCAAGTTTATTAATGTTACATGTGTATTTGAATGTCTTTTGTATTCCAGATACTAAACTACATGCTAGGAATACCACGGTGAATACACTTTATATTTCTGCCCTCGAGTTAAATTGAGAGGATGATCGCATAAAAGAATTTTATAATATTCTACTGAATTGTAATCTTTACTGGTGTGCAAATTAAAAATAGGACAAGCTCTTAGGAACCTATTATATATAAGAAAAGGGCTTCGATAACTTGTCGTGTGGGTTACCACGATTGCATTGTTATTTTCCCCATTCAGTAAGAAATAGTGTCATAAAATTTAGGTTAAATATAGATAATTAATATTTAATTTTATTATTGCACTAACTTCAGTATATTTTAAAACACTAGAGAAGAAGAGAGCATTTATAATTTATCCCCTGTTGTATTAAGAGGCTTAATTTTATAGTCCTTTTATTTTCTTAGTTGAGAAGCCAGTGATGTAGGTAGGTGGGCAGGAATTTCAAGTCATTTGCCAAATAGGCTCCTAACCCTTTCTTCCAAAAAATAAGTCTTAAGTTAAAAGTATAGTTAATGACAGATTATTTTAAAGCTTGTATGGTTCAGAGTTCTAATAAACAATCTTCAGTTTAGGCAAAAATGACACATTGTTGAAATACATTATTGCCTTGGGCACAGCTGTAGGTAAGTGGATGGAAGGAATAGTGGGACATTTTGGAAATTTCTTCTGGTCACTTAAGTGTCCTCATTGAAGTAGGAATCAAGGTTTTAATCTGAGAGATGCTGTGGGTGGGAGCTTTGGAGGTCTGGAAATTAGGTGAGTGAGTAGACGAGTGAAACAGCTGTTTGCCAGGCAATTAAACAATTGTTCTTAGGTTTAAAAATTGAAAAAGAAGAGATATAAAGTGCTAAATGTGAATGCACAAAATAAAGGCATCTGATGTTGCGTAAAGGGATCTCACCACCCATTTCTGGTGCCTGTCTTTTCAGTGTCATCTAGAGCATACACCTGTGCCCTTTGCCCATTTCACTTTGCCTGTGCCTCTGCCCTATCACTGGTATGGCATCCCTGTTCTTTATACAAGTCAAGCCCTTTTGAGGACAGCCTTTCCGTTCTTTTCCTCTGCCTGGAATTTCTATTCCACTCTTTCCTAAACTCTTTTTCCCCGTTGCATAGATCACATTATATTAAAATTTATCTACCTGCAAAGTTAGTGATAGTATCTTAACTTTTTTTTGCCATTATGTTTGGTGCATAAATCCTTCAGTGAACATTAAATACCACACTTTTCTTCTTTCTTCCTTCTTTAGTCCATAACAGGGGTCACCCAGCTTTTTCTGTAAAGAGTTAGGGAGTATACCTTAGGTTTTTGCAGGCCATATAGTCTCTGTTTAAATTACTTAGCTCTGCCATTGTGGCAAACGCAGCCATACACAATACGGAAGTGAATGAGCATGGCTGTGTTCAATAACACTTTATTTAAAGACACTGACTTTGAATTTCGTATAATTTTTACATGTCACAAAAAATTATTATTCCTCTGCCCCACCATGCCATTTAAAAATGTGAAAAAACACTGTTAAGTTACAGGCTGTATGAAACAGGCTGTGAGCTGGATTTAGCACCCACCTGGACCATTGCATAGTTTGCAGACCTTTGATCTGTCAGGACTCTCAGTAAACCTTGAAAAAGAAATGTGTGTGCACTGTGATGCTGTTGCTTATAATATTACCACTGGTGGTAAAGAAGCAAAGATAAATAAGGCAGTCTCTCTTGTCAAGGATCTCATGGTGAAGTTCAAAATTAAGACATGTAAACAAATAATGCTGACGGTATGGTAACTGCAGCTACAGTTGACTTATTGGATATAGATGTGAAACAAGGGAGTGATAATCAGCACCGCTTGAGTGGGTGGACCAGAAGTGACTTCAAACAGTCATCTGTTGGAGATAGGGAACATTTTCAGCTAAGAGCCTTTCTGAAAATCTCTCAAGCTTGCTAAGGAAATGACTGACCGTATCTCTCAACCTGCTGGCTGTGCACGTCAGGATGACCCAATTTTATTTTATAGGGTATAATCTTCATTCATTCATCTCAGAAATAAAGCTACTATATTACAAATTATTTTTCTCTAACAGTTATTTCTAATGGTCATGTACATTTTTTATTTTCTTGAGAAAGGTAAAATCGTGTTTCATAGCATGTATAATGTAGCAATGAATATTTCTTTAATGAATTTTTGATATTGAATTTTGGACTAACTCCTAGTCTTTTTTAAGTCAATTATTAATACATTAGAAAAGGGAGATTAACTTTAGTTTTAGTGGGCTTTCAATTTTCTTGCAATTTATTCGATTTAGGAAGAATTATTTTTATCTTAAGAAATTACGTAGGGAACTTAAGTATTTGATTAAACCTGTAGCGACATTAGGTATTTTAAACTTCCCTAATTACTCTTTAAAACTCTATTTTAAAAATCCATTCCCGAGGAATGATGTGGGGCAATGGAAAGTAACTTTTAAAAGTTTTTTAAAAATAATTTTGTACCCTCATTTCTGTGTCTTCATCATTGTTCTTTAGCAGTTAGAAATTGGCTTTATTAAAAGAGTTTTAGAGGTTCTCCACTGGTGACACTGAGTTGGAATTATATCAAGTATTGTTAATTTTTTGAAAGAGTTCCTATTTGTTAACAATATGCCATTATTTTATATTATATTTCAGTTGTTAACTTGTGCTTTCAAAGATCATCTATCGTATGTTGCAGAAAAGAAGACCTTATATGTGTTGTCTACTCAAAAAGCTGCTTTTTAATGTTGTATGGTGGTCTCCACCTTTCCAGCTCACTCGTAACTTATGAACTCTGGCATTAGCAATTGAACAACTAGATATTTGGTCCTGTTCCCATTTAGCACCAATGTTAAATGTGGGATCTGCCACATATCCTTTAATTCTTCTGAATGCCACCACATAAGGGGTCATTAAAGGGAATTGCAGTATAGAAAGGAAATTTACAGCTGTGCTAAATACTGATTTTCTTATACTCAAGAAAGAAAAAGCACCTGAGAAGTTAAACTCTTCACAGATATTCCCTTGCTGGCCATCCCTCATTTCTGATTTGCAGCCCTGTTTGCTGTTGTATGCACTGCTTTCATGAGTGAATCTCCATCTTTCAGGAAATCTCATTCCCCTACCCAGAGGATTTGGTTTGATTTCAGACACCATCTCTTTATCTTTGGCTGAGTTTTTCAGTATAGAACGCACTGCCGTCCCACATCCTTCCCCATTTGAAAATTTCACCCCAATTTACCCACTCAAAACCTTTCAGGACAGTGGGGGATGGATGAGAAAGGGGACTTTTGTGATTACCCCACCAGTGTGAGTTGTAGGCACCCCTTTTTTATTCTTTTTCTTTCTGTCTTCTCTCCAAAGTGCAAACGTTCCCTGAGACAGTATGGTCCCCACACTTGAAGAGGAAGCACAGTATTCTCCTAGGCGACCATGATTTCCAGTGGATCCTTTGCAGGAGTACTTGACGTTACCGTGAAGAGCGGTCCTTGGTTGATTTAGTCCCCTTAGCCCTGTGAGAATTGGGCCTGCTTAGACACTGTGTGTGTTGTAGGGGGTGAGGAGGGCAAATAGATTCATTGTTGGGTCAGTTTACAAAAACCTGACTACAGCTTCGAGGATACTGTTTAGATGAACATTAGAAAATTTATGAAGAATCACTGTTAAGAATGTTTCATTTTTTTCAATCAGACATCCAACACAAGTATTTCGTATCATGAAAGAAAGTCAATTGAATTTTCTTCAGGTGTTTTATCTTAATAACTTGGATAGAAGTTCAGGGTTATTGAAGTTTAACTTTTTCACATGATTAGAGCTTACAGATATGTGAAATATCTGTTCAGGTCAGTCATAATACGGGCTCACCTACATAACTTGATTTCATTTCATACTTCCATTTTTTTTCTCTTTGTCCTTTTGCCATTCTGGGGGATTTCCTGACTCAGTCTTCATTCTGACTCACTTATTTGCTTTAGGTGCTGTTCACCTCATCTCCTAAGAATTGTATTTCTATCAGTCTGTTTAATTTCCAAGTCCTTTAGTAGTTTTTTCTCAATTACTTTCTTATTTCAGGAATATGGTATTCTATGTTTTTTCTCTGAGGATATTAGTTGTACCACTTTTATATAGAGTGGTGATCAACATGTATAATTACTTGCTATATACCAGAAACTATTTTCAATGTTACATGTACTAATTTTAATTCTTCTAACAACCAGAAGTATTCTTACTCTGTTTACAGATGAGAAAAGCTAGGCACAGAAAGGATGAATAACTTGCTCAAGGTCTCAGACTAGTAAGTAGCAGATGCTTGATTCATGTTTAGTTGGTTTGGCTCCAGAGGTCACACTCTTCATCACTCTGCTTCAGGCATTATTATTATTATTAGTCCCCGTGTTTGTTGATTTTGGTGCCTCTTTATGATATTGTTTTTCCATAAATGTTTACTGATTCCAGCTTCTTTCAATGTGTTTGAAGTTGCTGATTGGGCCCGTTTTCTTTGTGTGTGCTCAGGGAGGGGAAAACAATGCCAGTTAATGCCAGCCTGCTGGATGTCAGTGGCCACCTGAGGTTTTCCCTGCCTCTGAATAAAGTATCCGCACCTACTGTGCCAGCCAGACTCAAGTAGATGAAGAGATAAGGTTGGAAGTTTACTTGATAGTTTACCCTCTTCTTGAAAAGGTATTATTTTAATTCAAATGATAAATCTTTTTAAAGTACCACAATAAAAATGTAGATGTGGTGTTGCCATTTTTATGGCTATTAAATAAGTTGTTAGCTCTGTTTATGTTTGTGTTGACTGTGAATCTTTTTTGGAGGAGGGGGATGACCGAGGAGGCTGGATCCACTCCAGGTCAGACTGATGAGATGATCTAGCCAATAAACAGAAAGGTACTCTCCAAGGGATGAGAGACTTAGTGCAGTGGCAGACGTTTTGACAGGAAAAATGATGAGGAAAAAAAAAATCTACCTAAAGAATAGAACTTGGGAGCAAAAGGAAGAAAACAGCATGAGTGCACCTTTTGCTTTTGAAGGGACTTTGTGCTTTGGAGGAAATGACATAAAACTGAGGACTGAATAGACACTGAAGTAACGACTTTGATTCGTTGTTGTGTGTTCTCTTCTATAGAAAACATTTTCCTGTGAATATTATTTTAAAGCTATTTTAAAAACTTGACCTCAGTGGTTCTCAATTTTGTATCTGCCTCTGCACACTCCCATTAGTGGCAGTGGGATTCTGCACTTACTTGTCGGAGTGAGGCAGCCTGTTTTTAACATTTCCCTTTGTCTTTCCTGTATTTCACTTCGAAAATCACCATCATCCTTGTGATTATTCTAACCATGCAGCTCAGAACACATTACACTGTTACATTGGTTACATGCTTTTAGTTGGACCGAGTAGAATCTGATTCTGGCTAGCTAAAGTAAAAATAAAATACATTGGGTGGATAATAGGGTGTTTCACATACTACAAGGAAGAAAAATCAAGTTCTGACACAGTGGGCATCACACCTGAGGGAGAGCTTAGTACCAAGAATGTATAAACTTGCTTCCTCAAACGTTTCCATTAGTCAGTTTCCATGACTCCCAGTCTCTTAGTTAAAAATTGCAAACTGCTGGGAGAAAATGACGGATGCCGCTCAGGGGTAGCAGTGGAGGTTCTTGTGGTGGTGGCGGCCTGTGCAGCTCAAGGGATGTTGGGGGTGAGGAGGGCTGTCCTGCTTCAGAAAGCCCTGACTAGGGGTGGGGTGGGTGCAAAGGTTCATAAACTTTGAACCCCGAGTTCAGCGAGCAATTCTCAAAGAAGGAAAAATATTGTGAGTCCTTTAGCTACTTTATGAGAGGCCGGTTTTCTAAAAATGAAAAGCATGTGGCATTCAATCCAAATGAGTAATTCAGCGGTGACCACTAAGTCGATGTGTTTTGGGTAACTTGAGAATATTCTTGCTGTACTGGTTAATGTTCCTGTGTGTGTTTTGTAGCAAAACAACCTTATATGAGCGTGGGCTTCTTTTTTTTCTTATTTGTGTATTTCTTTTTGGCCTAGAGATGATTATCAATTCTTTACTGAATCTGATATCACATTAGTGAGGCTGTTGAAAGAATTTATTTTTAATGAGTCCTCTGTTCTTGATTAGTTTTGCTGTTTTTAATGTTCTCGTTTGTTATTTTTACAGTGTGTCTAGTTGTGTAATTACTTTTTTTTACTATTGAACATGTAACATGTATGAATGAAAAAATTGAAAAAATAGAGAAAAGCACAAAGAAAATAAAAAGTGTCTCTAATCCCATTGTTAATTAAAAAAAATTTTCTCTTCTGTGCATATAAAGAGGATGCTTTTTTATAATCCAAACTTTAATTCTATATATTTACTTCTTTGGGCAAGACAAGCTGCTCTAAAAAGTTGCCCACTTTTTTATCTAGGTGGAGATGGTCACCAGTTTGAAATAAATTGTTCTTATTTTGGAAAGAGTCACACCAGAGCCCCCATCAAATAGGTTTATGTAAAACAAGACAGTACAAATTGCTGTGGAAAAACCTTTAACAGGGCATTTCTGTTGTCTCCTCCAGGCTGCCCTCTCATTACTTCCTGGTCTGTAGAGAGTCTAAGTCACTGGGTTAAGCAAATTGGAATAGGGACCACAGAGATTGCATTTGAGACACTGGCCACTTCTCTTTGGAGTTCAGCTTTAATGTAACCTTTCTGAAAAACTGAGGTAGCCCCTACAGGTCCACTGGCAAAAAGGACTCCAAGGACCTCCACAGGGTAAATTTACACTGGAAGTGGGATGCAACCTGTGATTCAGGTTAATACAGCTAAAAAAATATATATGTATATACATGTATATGTATATGTGTGTATATATATATATATAAAGAGAGAGAGAGGAAATTCATTTCCATTACTCCAAAGTAAAACCCCTTACTCATTAAGCAGTTTCTTCTCATTCTCTCCCTTTAGCCTCTGGCAACCACCAATCTACATTCCATTTTTATGGATTTATATATTATGGAAATTTCATATACATGGAATTGCATAATATTTTTGACCTTTTGTGCCTGGCTTCTTTCACTTAGCATGATGTTTTGGATGTTCATCCATGTCATAGCATCTGTTAGTACTTCATTCCTTTTTATGGCCAAATATTTCATTGTACATAAGTTTGTTTATTCACCTATTCATGGGCATTTGGCAATTATGAATAATGCTTCTGTGAACTTGCTTGAGCATGCCCTTGTTTGAGTCTCTGTTTTCAGTTCTTTAGGGTATATGTCTAAAAGTGGGACAGTGGGATCTTATGGTGATTCCATGTTTAACTTTTTGAGGAGCTGCCAAATTGTTTTCCTTAGCAGCTGAACCATTTTGCAGTCCTACCAGCAGTGTATGAGTGTCACAGTTTCACTACAGTTTCTTAGGAGAAATCTGCTCTCATTCAACTCATGATTCCCCTGTAGGTAATGCCTAGTTATTTTCTGACCGCTTTCAAGATTTTTCATTCTCTTTAATTTTTAGCAGTTTGATTATGATGTGTATGGGTGTAGATTTTCTTTGGTTTATCCTGTTTGGAATTCACAAGCCTCTTGATACCTGGATATTTTTCTCTCTTGATAAATTTGGGCAGTTTTCAGTCATATATGTTTTTTTAGCATTAACACTTTTTTTTCCTCCTGGGACTCTGGTAATATGAAGGTCAGACCTTTGTTACTAACCCATGGTTCTCTGAGACACTGTTAATTTTTTTTTAAATCTTTTTTCTTTCTCTTGTTCAGAATGGACAGTTTTTATGGACCTATCAAGTTCACTGACCCTTTTTCTGTTGTCTCCATTCTGCTTTCAAGCCTGTTCCCTGGGTTTTATTTATTTGCTATTGGGTTTTCCTGTTCTAAAATTTCTATTTAGTGCTACTTTATTGCTTGTTCCTTTGCTGAGATTTTGTGTTTTTAATTGTTTCAAGAGTGCTTGCCATTGTTTGCTGGAGCACTTTTTAAATAGCTGTTTTAAAATTTTGTCAGCTAATTCCAAAATCTTTGGCATCTGTTGAGTTTCCCTTCTTCACAGAGGTCTACATGCTTCATTTGCTCAGTAATTTTGGATCCTATGAGACTTTGAGTTTTGTTTTAATCTTATAGAGAGTGTTGATGTTTTCTTTTAGCATGCTATTGACCTGGTTAGGTTCCAGTTACAAGTTTCCACCCACATTCTTTGAGCTGTGGTTCTAATTTCACTTTAGTTTTCAAAAGCCTCTGTAGTGCAGTTTCAGTGTGTGCCACCCAGTGACTGTTCTGGATCTGGGCAGTGGTCTGTCTGTTCAGTTCGTCAAGTCTTCGGTACACAGAATAGGATTAGATCCACAGATGCCTTACTCGGAGGTTAGTCTAGGAGTTAATAAATAACTTTATTGTGTTGCTTTCCTGAGCTCTTCTTTTTATTTGCTTTCCATGGTTCTTTCTGATTGTCTGTGGCTCCTCTTTTCTATCCTTCAGCCAGAAAACTAGGGTTTATTTTGCCCCATCGAGCCACATACTTCTGCAACCGCATTTACTGCCTTCAGGGTCTGGGAGCAGAGAGAGAGAAGAAAGCAATGCGATTTGGCCATACCTTCTTGGAACCGGAGCTCCACTTACCAGAGAGAAGGGTTCCCCTGCCTCAGAGTTTTGGCTGCACTAAGCTTTCATTATTGCAATCTGATGCTGCTCTCATTTGATTGCTTAGAGACAGGGGGTACAGGAAAATGTTGAAAAGAAAAAAAAAATTGGGTAATTCCCCATTCTTCCTGAGCAGACAACTTCCCTTTCCTATTTCTCAAGCCAGAAGTAGAGAGCTTCAGGAGCTGGCCTCTCTCTCCTCTCTCTTTGCTCTGGTGCCTACTTCGAGTATTTTTATTTTCTCTATTATAAGAGAAAAAGTGATAAGCTCACTGTTTTGGGGTGGTATATTGAATTTTGTTTTCCTCTTGTTTTATATGCTGCTGTTTGCTTTTCAGGGTCTTCATACTGCTGCTGTTCCATGCATTCTGTCCAGGTAGGAGAGACAGCTTGCAGTATGTTTACCTCTGTCTAACCTGAGACCGAAAACATCTGTCTGTTTTTGCCATTAAAAATGGCATGTGCTTGATTGTGTTGGTCCAGTTTTTTTAATCTACCCCTTTAACAGACTCATCTAGAAAACATGGCTACTGCAATTAGGGAGGTGGGAATTTGGAGACAAACCAGAACACTCCTACTGAAAAATTACCTAATTAAATGCAGGACTAAAAAAAGTAGTGTTCAGGTAAGTTAAATGGCTCTTTTTCATGCTTTGTTGCCTAAGAAATTTTGTGTTTACTTTGTGTTGTTATGTTGTATATTTAAGAGGTGATGTATTTTGCAGGATACGTTTTTATTATAATTTTATATCCTTAGGTCCCTTTAATTTGCTTTGAAGTAAAACTTGTCATGATAGCCAAGAAAAATACCTAAATTATGTAATGTTTTCTAAATGTTAATAAGTTAAATAATGATTTCTAAATGTATTTAATTTCTAATATCAGCACTTAATCTTGAAGTTTTAGGCATACATTTCCCAAGCTTCATAATGAAAAAATTCCACAGATAACTTTGTGGAATATTACTCAATTTATCGTGGAGCATTACAGTTTATTCCATGACCCCTCATCTTTTAGACTCTGGATTGAATTGCCCCAAATTACTAAAGTTATGTCACATATTTGTTCCCAATATACATTACCTTAAAATGTAAAAGAACGTAAGAATTCTGGCTAACTAGTTAATAATTTTAAGTGATGAAAATATAATGATCATCTTCTTCTGAAGCCAGCAGAACAGTTGAGCAGCAAGATAAAACAATAAATAGCTCATTGCTATAAAAGCTGATTATTGAACTTAATAGAGTTTGATTTTAATAATAGAAATTTAGGTATAATTAAAGCATGAGTTTTAGTTCAGAATTGAATAATGACATTTTTATGGTGATCCCTATTAAGGATGTTTGGTAAGTTAATTTAAGTAGTTATATAAGTAAATTTATTACTGTTTTGCATTAGTAATCTAAGATGTTTAAAAATTAGCTTTTGTGTCATTTTAATTTACTGTGTGACTTGAATTTTAAAATATTTCAGTGAAATTAAATGTAAAGGAAAAATGATCTACTATGTCTGTTGCGTTAGGTGAGATGCTCAGCACAATATTTCTTTTAGGATAGCATTGTTTTTATTTTTTCTACTGAGGAATGGAGATCAAAATTCCTCATGCCTTTTCTTAGTATTAGTTATATTATTTGCATAGAAATCTTGATGACTCTTGCCGTTGTTAGGTTCTGTAATTATTTTGTTTGTGTTCTTTATTATAGGAAATTCTTTTTCCACTATTTTTTTTATTTTGGTTAATATTAATTAGCATGATGCATCCAAATAAGAAATATGAAGAAGTGCCTGATATAGAACTTAATCCTATGGACAAATCTATCCTCTCTAACCTAATTCTTGGATATACTCCAGTGACTAATACTACAAGAAACATCATGCAAAAAGTTTCCACTGATGACCTTCTTGATGGTATTGTGAGCTTCTATATGTATTCTATCTGTAACAGAAAACCTTCTCGTTATTTTTCTGCTTGCTTCATTGAGCGAATGACATTCTTAACTTAGAGAAATGAACCTTCACCCAAGTGTGGTTTTATAAAATATTAAAATCATTTAATTCTGTGCCTTATGTTTCTTGGTAATAGGAAGCATATTTTATATGTTTTAGCATTTTATATTTAATTATTAGACCATTTATAAAATATGTACAGTTTCAACCATTTGAAAGACTGTTTATTTGTTTTTGACTCATGATAATTAAGCTAGAAATATGTGATAAAGATTATAAAGCAGTAATCTTTTCAGACTGCCATGGCTATTTATGGAGGTGTATGGTGTAAACTGAAGAAGCGCTTAGCTTTGAGACTATGACTATGGCTGGGTACCTAGGTCTGTTTTTCTTAGTTTGTATTTCTTAGAAAGAAATGGACTAGTGAGCAGTATAAACAATGAGGTATTAATGAGCCTAAACTAGCTGTGAGAGGATAAAGTAACAGAAATATTTGTACTGTGATGACTGATTTAATGAAATACTGAATTGTAGAAAATAGCCGATTACTATGTTATCTTATATAGAAGAGTTGTGATGAACTTCTAGCCTGTGTCATCACAATATTGGATGATGCATCACTGAATAGATGATTATACTCTGAGGAGCCAAATAATTTTTTTACCCATTGTTTTCTTTCTGGCTTACTACTATTTAATATTTTTTATCAAGCACATATCTTATTGGCATTGTTGGTTTATCATATTAAAGACAAGAAGCATGGGTAGCCATGAGAATTTAGCCTGCCAGCTCAAGAAACAGATCAGAAATGTTGACAAGGAAATTTTTTGAAAATTCTGATTTGGAGAAAGGCATATACACCAAGGAAATCCAAGTCAATGTGTATTAACTTAAATACCAAAATAGTAGAAATATTTATAGATTTTTCTTAAAGTTCTGTGTTTTTAACCACAGAACTGTCTGAGAGGGAGATATACATACATCTATAGTAATATGACTGGTAGGATGTTGAACTAACACCCTCTTTATTCATATCAATCCTGAAGTTCCATGTCCACCTTAAAGATCTAGAAAATCATAATAATTAATATTTAAGTAATATTTTATAATTTACAGGGCATTTTCATGTTTGTATCTTAACAATTGAGTGTCATCAGCTAGGTATTGTGGATGAGAATACTAAAGTTCGGAGAATTAAATTGCTTGCCTGTGCTCACAAAGCTATTAATCAATAAGTTAAGTACTAATCTTATATTCTTTCCATTTCACCACATATTCTAAAGCATCTGAGATGAAGACTGATTGCTTGTAAATAAAATTTAAGAAAATATTTAAAAATTAGGAATATCTGATGTAAAAGGAAGCTGAGTGATAACATTTTTTCCATATACTAAGAAAGGAACAAACAATATTGGGTTTAAATGGCAATTTTTATTCAAAGAAGAGTTGCCTCACAGTTACTAAAGTACATATTTGGTTTCTGAGAAGGATTATGGCATTTTCTTCATAAGAAATATTTGAACATATCAAAGAGCTATTTATTTGTGTAGTTTTAACTTTGAAATAGATAAGTGAACTGCACATAGTGCAAATAAAGTATACACTATACTTATAGTAATAACATGTATTATGGTGACACATAATTTATGTAATCAGATGATAGCTGAAAACTGTCTATAAAACTGTACCATTTTATTAATTAGTATTTAGAATTTTTTAGAATGACTATTCATTTCTAAGAAGTTGAAGAATAAAACAAAAGTGCCTATAAAATATTACATTAATCAAATATGCTAAATTTGGTCTATTGTGTTACAGTAAACTTTTAAATTGTGAGTAAACTATATTGTTATATTATTTTGCAGTCATAATTACTGAAGAATATACAAATGAAAAGGAATTACTAGCATCCAGTCTCTCTAAGTCCAGCAACTTTGTAGGTGTGGTTTTCAAAGACTTCATGTCTTACGAACTTCATTTTTTTCCTGATATGATTCCCGTGTCTTCTATTTATATGGATTCAAGAGGTAAATAGCCCTAAATATACACATTGAAAAATAATCACTAAAAGTCAATTAAGTGCATGTCTTTGTTGCCTTTAGTTTGTATCCAAAATTTGATGGATATTTTCAATTATTGGAAAAGAAAACTGAAGTGTAGCATAAAAGTATGTGTATATACAAGTATCTGTCTACATGTGCATGTATAATATAAAAGAAAATTTTATATAACATTTTAATTTTAATCCACTTACATATCTCAATTATAGTAACATAAAGCAAATTGTATACTGAATTTTCTGACTTTCTAAATCTGTTTTTCCCCCCGTAATTGTTTTCACATACAGTATATTATATATCTTTAACTTAATCTCAGTGTCTTCCACCAGTGAACTTTGTTAGTTTTATTATTGAAACATGGAAAACCGTCTTCAATGCATAAACCTGTGATGAGATATTATTAACCACAAACATTTATTGAACAGTGTAAAAGTCACTATACTAAGTACTGAATTTATGACTTAATTCCAAAAAGCCCTTACAGAAATTATTTTTTTTCCTGTTCTCTTAATCTGGAGTTGTCTGGAAGTGCTTTGAATCTGATAAGTCATTATAGAATGACTTACCTTAAAACAGAAAAGCGACTTACTTTAAATAACTATGCTTACAGTTAATTTCTTCCTTTTCATTTGTGTGCATTTACCACTCAGTGTCCTAACACATGTAACTGCTTAATTTCAAAATCTCAGAACAATCAGGAATGTGATAGATACTGTTTGCTTTAGAAGGGGAGTTATTTCCTTTTGCCCCATAGAGATGGGTGAATTATATTAATAATTCATTATTATTTGAATTATTAACCTTTGCTAATCCTCCACCTGTTATCTTTACAAGAAAGCACATGCATGTTGTGCAAAATCTGTGTCTCACGTTTTTCCCCCATAGCTGGCTGTTCAAAATCATGTGAATCTGCTCAGTACTGGTCCTCAGGATTCGCAGTTTTACAAGCATCCATAGATGCTGCCATTATACAGGTAAATATGATAAAGGTAGACCAAGAAGGTCAAAGTGTATTTTTAACAGTTATACTGTTAAGTCTTTACAGTAAGATTTAGTTTGACTTCCATCAAATGTACAGAATACGTACCTTACTGGAACTCCTTTAAGAGAAAAAAGATAAGCAAGAAGTCATATTTTCTGATTTAATATTTTTTGAAACCTATTATTTGACGGTTTCTAAGCCTATGATTCAGCATTCTGTTTGTCTTATTGTATCTGTGTTGACTACAGGTAATATGTATGAAATATCTACATTTGCAGACTTTTTCCCTTGAATAAAAATAACTTAGTTGAAAAGAGTGTATCTTAATCATAGTAGATTTTTTTAAAAATATTAATTACTTGCCAAACATTGTTTCTAAGTTAGGTACTAATGTGTATCTTTTTAACCTTTATCCTTTGAGTTTGGTGTTGTTATTATCTCTAGTTTGTATATGAAACTGAAGCATACATTGATTAAGTGACTTTCCAAAACTCAGTTGCTTAGTGGAAAAGCTATATCAAACTGTGGCTTTTTGTCTTCTAATTCTGTTTTAATACTATATTGCTGTTAGGATTGTGTATAAATGTTAGTTATATTCTAAAAATATGCTTAGATCTGATCCAGTGTTTCACATTTTAGTAGAAATAAACAGGACCCCTAGAACAGGAGACTTGTCTCTGTTAGTTGTTAGATTGCTATGTAGTAAAATGACTGCAGTAATAATGCTTTTCTTTACAGGGTTGCTCTAAGAACCAAATGAGAGGACATATGTAAAATTGTCTTATAAACTCTCACAACATGGTATAAATGTATTATAGATATGTAATATTACAGAAATTCAATAATACAGAAGTTTAAGGTAGAGACACTGATGTATAGGACATATCACATTGATGATATTATAATACTTGGGTTTTGGCCAAAGACCTCAGGCATCCACAAGCCAGACCGCACTGGATGAACAGGCAGAGCAGATCTCATTTTATACATTTAATTAAATAGTAGGTCGATTATCATGGCATGTATAGTTTTATTATTCTATCTGTATGAGCTCCATGTATAGATTTTAAAAGAATAGGAGATACTATTCAAAAGAACACTTCTAAAAGAGAGTCGTTCTTTCATGGTACTGATAATCATTCCTTAATTCCTCAGTTTTAAAATGCATATTTTTGCTAAGATGCACATGATTGTTCTTTTAAGATGATAATTGTGCAATTTTATTTTCTTTGTCAAATTGTTTAACCAAAATTTATATACTTCCCAACTTAAGTCTTTAAAGTTGAATAGATAAAAGTAATTATGTATGCTGTATCATGATATTGGGGTCAGTCACTTTATTTCAGGATTTTTGAGAATTGTATTTGGACTAGGTTATGAATAAATTCAGGAGTATAATTTGTACATTTTATTAGGGGCTATGTCAAAATTAAGTTAATTTAATGTGTTCACATTTTCTAATTACAGTTGAAGACCAATGTTTCTTTTTGGAGGGAGCTGGAGTCAACTAAAGCTGTTATTATGGGAGAAACCACTGTTGTAGAAATAGATACCTTTCCCCGTGGAGTGATTTTAATATACCTGGTTATAGCATTTTCACCTTTCGGATACTTTTTGGCAATTCATATTGTAGCAGAAAAAGAGAAAAAGTTAAAAGAGTTTTTAAAGATAATGGGACTTCATGACACTGCTTTTTGGTATGTTATTAAAAGTTTATTATTTAATATGATTAATAATTGTATTAAATATACAAACAATCTGAATTGTAATTTTGCTATTCACCTGACTAGGAGATGCTGATTTTGGTTTTCTTAACAATGATCCCTTTGTGTTGAAACTGGAGACCAGTCAGGAAACATCAGCAATTGATTGGCTTGTTTTAACAAACGGGAAGTCGGATTTGGAAAGCTCATATTGATATTATATTTTTAAGTTTTATTTCACATTCTGTTTGAATTGAGTTGTGGTCCATATATATCAGTGCATAGAACGTATGAGATCTTGGAAAGTTAGAAATCATTGCCTGTTACAGTCCTCCCCAAGTATCATAGCATATATGTGTTACTAAGAATTTAATTAAAATGATTGTAGTTTGTGTATGTAGTATATGGGCTTTTTTGTTTTCCAGGAGAAAAAATTACTTGTGTGAATTAATGTGAAAATATACAAATAATTTATAGAGAAACAAATGAAAAAATATGTTGTTACAACTGAGCTTTAATGTATCAGCATTTTTATACAATGATAATTTTATAGAGGGGTGCATTTTCCTTACTTTTCCCATTATGTAGTATGAAAATTTATTTTTACCTCATTTTTTGGGAACAGTTAATGTTCCTGTGATTTGCAATTATAGTCCATTTTACAAATTTTACTCCATTTAATCCAAAGCAACAATTAATTGTAACGCTTCACGTAATGAAGTCATGTGTAACCTATTTTCTTTGCTCATTTTCTTTTCTTCTGTCATTTTAGCAGTGATTAGTTTTAAAGATGCATTTGTTTTTTAAAGTACCTTGTGAGGAAACAGTAGCTCGAAGAATTTAGTCAAATCAGTCTCTCAGTGCCTCAATTTTGCCTCTTTGTATAATGATGGATTCAGTTTTGGTAATTAAGGGCTAACATTTAACCCTGTTTCAGTGATTTTGTGGTCATTAAATCATGACCTGCTAACTTGGAAAAAAACACTGCTCTAGCAATTCCATTGAGCTCTGATTTGGAGAGATTTTGAGTGTAGTGAGTCCATTGTTGGTCTTGATCTCACATTGTGTAAAATGGTAGTTATTATGTTGTTTATTAGCAAGGCAGTCTTTTGTTTAAAGTACCAAAAGCCATGAGAGGTTTAATTGTAACACATGCCATAAAGAAAATTGTCAGTCATTAAACCTGTATTTTAAGAAAATTAGAAGTGTTACACATTATTGAACTTTTGAGAGAATTAGATTTAAAATAATCATGAATTGCTATTAGTTCGCAAAGTTTTTTTTAACTCATGGGAAGATAATCACCATTTTATTCTTTCAGATTATCCTTTTACCTATAACTTAGCCAATACTGTATTTTTAATTACTCATAATAGCATTAATTTTCAGTACATGAACATACGGAAATGAATAGATTGGCTTAACTTTAAGAATGACTACAATTAGGCCTAAGTGTTGTTTGAAATGATTTTTTAACTGTTAAAGGCTATACATTAGGCACAAATACATTTGTATTCTCATTCTAGGCTTTCCTGGGTTCTTCTGTATACGAGTTTGATTTTTCTGATGTCCCTTCTTATGGCAGTTATCGCAACAGCTTCTTCGTTATTCCCTCAAAGTAGCTGCATTGTGGTATTTCTACTTTTTTTCCTGTATGGGTTATCATCTGTAAGTATCTATACTTGAAATGAGATAAAGAACTGCTGAAACAGCTGATTAATACAGAAAAAGCCTTATTCTATGGTTTATTTACATTTGATTTCCCATGAAAGATTGTTACTAGATTACTGATAAATGGCTGGTATATAGCATCCTTATGCCTCCATATTTTTAGAAAAAGTACAAAATTGTTTCAGGTTTAAATTTAACTTGTTGTCATACGATGTATTTCACATGTCTGAGTCTGTCTTTTACTTACCCTCATATAGTCATGTGTAACTAAGATGTCCAGTACCAAACTTTCTCCACCCTTTGTTTTCATGAAATGCTGACTGTTTCAGGTTAATTTATGTTACAGGATCATGATGTGTAAAGATATGTCTTTGTAAAATACAGCTCTTTGGCAGTGTTGACATTCATTTGGTATATTGGCTGAATGCTGGCTGTTAATGACCAGCCTTTGTTTTAGTGGCTCCAGTTTCCATTCTGATTGGCTTATATGCCTGTGCTCTACCGGTTGTTTAATGTTTTGACTATCACTCCTGCTCTTTAACATGGTAATTTGCAAATAATTCATGTACTTGTATATATAATGAACTGGTTTTGTATCTTATCAATATCATGAAGTTTAAAAGATGGGTTCTGTATTTAAAAGCTTGTTGATAGGTTGTTTTGGTCACATACGTTCATAGCTTTCTGCAGAAACAGGGCTGTCTATGGTTTCTGCAGTGTGGAGGTGGTTATATTTGCCTATCCTTTAGATAGAGATTTAAAATGTTTCAGCTTAAAACTTTTGTATACATCACTAGTTTGTATGAAAATAAAATATCCTACTATAACATTTAGAAATTAATTACTTTAATGATATATATTCCCATGAAAATAACTTCTTTCATAAGCCAGGATTAATTTTGGTTTTATACCAGTATATATAAAAACATTAACCTTAATATTTATATTTTTTAGGTATTTTTTGCATTAATGCTGACACCTCTTTTCAAAAAATCAAAACATGTGGGAATAGTTGAATTTTTAGTCACTGTGACTTTTGGATTTGTTGGCCTTTTGATAGTCCTCATGGAAAGTTTCCCAAAGTCACTAGTGTGGCTTCTAAGCCCCTTCTGTCAGTGTACTTTTCTGATTGGCATTGCACAGGTAGGTAATGTATCCATCTTGCTTCACAAGATTTTCTTTTCTGTCTTTCCATGTGGCATAGTACAGTACTGTGAATATTACCTTTATTGTGCAAAAAAATTATTTTAAAATTTCAACACAGGAAAGGAATGATATTTGAATACTGAAATATATTTTATATTGTTCTAAGTTTTTCATTTATATATCGATTTTTAAGTTTTCCACTTTTTGTTTTAGTATATCTCAGCAGTGTTTTTCACTGCAGTATTTAAGTTTGTTAGAAGTTACTGGTTTAAGCATCGGATAATCTAGATTGCTCTATGGGCCTGGTTATATTGCTGCCTATTATAAATTTATCTGTGATGTGTGATTGGCAGAAGATTATGTATAGAACAAAGCAAATTTTCATGGTTGTATAATAGACCTAGTGGATGTTACTGGATTTTCATGGAATAGTCATTCAACTGAGTAATATTTAGATCCATAAATTTTATTTTTACTAGTCTTTACTGGGGAAGTCAGGGTCAAAGAGAAAAATTCTTAAAAGAAACTAACATAAATTTGGTTACTGTATGAAGAAAAAATGTAGTTGAATATAAAAGATTATTACTGCTGGCTGATTAGAATATTCTGATTTATGAGATTTAAATAGATTGTTTATGAATATTGAGTTAAATAAATTTTAATTACTTGAGACCTAAGAACTGTTGTTACACATTTAGAGTTCACAGTACCCCTTCACTTAGAAAGGTAAAATTAAAGATTCATAGGTTTTTGTGGTAAGTGGGAGGGACTTTGAATGTCATTTAATTCATCTCCTTCATTTCATAGGTGAGGAGACTGAAATCCAGAGCGATGTAATTGAACTTTATTCACTTAATAGCAGATCTGGGATTTAATAAGGCCTTAACATCTAGTGTATTTCTGCTCTGTAACATATATCTACTACAAATAACCGTGTTAATAACAATTGTGTTAATCAGAATACCTTCTCTCTTTTTAGTATTTAAGGACGCTAACCACAGTTTTATCCTCTTATACTTAATTTGTTTGATTTCCATGTGGATCATAATCCTTTTGTTTGTATTAGTATTAACACCATACTTTAATTTCATTCGATAGTCATGACACTGGGTTTAATGCCTTCTGAGTGGATGTATACTAGTTTTAGAAGCATAACATTAAAGATGATAGAAAGGGATTGTTGTTACAAACTTATTTTTGGTAAAGTTTGTATTGTTTTCCTTATAAATTAATATCACTGTTTAATCTTTTAAAAGGCCCAGTTTATTTATTGTCAGTCTGGAGATAATGAATCTGTAGTGTTTTCTTTTGCTTATTTTTATCATTTTTATACAATAAACTTTCTGGTTTTTTTTTTCAGGTCATGCATTTAGAAGATTTTAATGAAGGTGCTTTATTTTCTAATTTGACTAAAGGCCCATATCCTCTTATTATTACTATTATCATGTTAGCACTTAATAGTATATTCTATGTCCTCCTTGCTGTCTATCTTGATCAAGTCATTCCAGGTAAGCAGGTAGTTACTGGATTTTACTTTAAAGCTTTTGTTTTTTTTTGCCTACATAGGGTCAGCTTAATTTTAATTATTTTTTCTAGCCAGAATACTCCAAGTCATATTCATTTTTCAAGCATTTCATTTAATTTTAAATAAGTACATTTCATACCTTATGCTTTAACCGCTAATGAATGTAGGGAGATAGTGTAAAAAGAAAGCAAAGCAATTTGTTTTGAAAACCTTGACTCTTTAGCTGAACTTCTTGTTGCTTCCCTTTGCCCATCTTTTTTGGCTAAAATGTTTCATTATTTTACTGTCTGCAGTACAGAACTGTGAAGTGATCCTGTAACTCCTACCATTCCCCTCATTTGTTGTTCTGAGTCTATGAACAACTCCTGTAGATTCAAAATATTAAAATAAATTTAACATCCCCCTTTACTTTCCCCTTGAGTTCCTCACTACTTTTGCAACATCTTGTACAGTAACCATTAGACACATGTGGCTTTTAAAATGTAAATTAATTAGAATTAAGTAAACTAATTCATTTCCTCAGTAGCACAAGGCACATTCCAAGTGCTCAGTAGCCACGTACAGCTGTTTGTCGCTGTGTTGTATGGTACAGATACAGGGTATTTCTATCACTGCAGAAGGTTGTATTGGGTGGCATAGTCTAGACCATTGCAATACCTCTGGTCTAATTACCTGCGTCAGATCGTCTGAGAACTTCCCTATTCCCTTTAATCATGTTAATCACATGCTCAGAAACTTGTCTGGGCATATCCTGGTGAATAAAGTAGAAACTGGTTGTATATTAATGTCCTCCACAATTCTTCTATATATTTAAAGTCTCCTTTTCATTCTCTGCTACTTTATTGCATTTTATATCCATTAGTACAGTCCTATTTACCTATATAAACAGATCTCTAGTGTATCAGTTAAATTATTTTTAGCTATTCATAACAGGAAACCTTTTTAATCAGCTTAAATAAGAAGGAAATCAATTGTTTTGCTTAAAAAATAAGCTCAGTGATAGAATGGGCTCCAAGTTGATTGACTTGCTCAACCATGTTATCAGGGACCCACATTCTCCATGCTTTTACCACCTTTGAGTCTGGTACATTTACTCCCTTCCTGTCTGGGGTTTTTATGTTCCTTCATGTCCATTGGAAGAGGGAGAGTGAACCTTTCTCCCAACTTAACCCTTTGCTTCTGTTGAGTGGTTGCATGCTTATGGTTAGGGCAGTAACAGTTGCCAGAGCATGCCAGGTACCGATAGGTCAATTAGGACCTCTGTAGTTGGGATCAGGTCCCTTTGAAGTATGTGGCCATACAGAAGAGGAGTGGATATTTAAGAAAATGGGGAATGTCAGGTCTGTGGGGAAAGGGGAAAGAAAATGGATGCATCCTGTGGACAGCCATCACTGTCTACCATATCTGAGTTTCCCATATCTGTCCTGTACCTATATTGCTCTCCTAATTCTAAAAAGTTTTTTCTGTGAACTATATCTACTTTTCTAAATGCTGCCTATCTTCAAAGACTAAGATGATACTAATTCAATAACTTTAACTGTTTTGAACTCTTATTAGCACTAAGCATGTCATGACATGCCTCATGCCGTGCATGGTGTTCTAGTCATTTGGTGTATACATGTACCCATAAATATACAAGTTCCTTTAGGATAGGAAATGTGCCTTACTCACCTTTACATTCTGATGCACTCTTAGCAGCTTTGAAACTATGGAACAAATTATTTGTCAGTAAAATTTATTTTCCACACAATACAGATTTAATATTTTTTATCTAAACTTTAGATCTAGGTTGTTATATATTTCACATACTGCCTTTATGACTTAAAAAACTAGCTTTCAGAAATAATTTGTTAGGATAACTCAATTTTTTAATCTTTCAGGAGAATTTGGCTTACGGAGATCATCTTTTTATTTCCTGAAGCCATCATATTGGTCAAAAAACAAAAGAAACTATAAGGAGTTATCAGAGGGCAATGTTAACGGGAATATTAGTTTTAGTGAAATTGTCGAGCCTGTTTCTTCAGAATTTATAGGAAAAGAAGCCATAAGGTATGTTTTCACCTTTGGCAATTTACCTACAAGAAGTTATGATGGTACCTGCCACATTTAAATCCTATCTTTTAAATAATGTTTGTAAGTATGGTATTTTAGGATATTTGGTACATACTTCATGGTTTTTAAACACAATAAGAGCTACTTCTCTTTTAAGTTATTTTCTTTGTATCCATTTAGAATAAGGGTGCTGCCAGGTTTGTAGTTTTCTGTTTCAGTGGAAATTTTTTAAAGTAATAAAACCTAGTGTTTATATAATTGAGGTCTTAAATTTACTAAACTTAACCCTTTGCTTCTGTTGAGTGGTTGCATGCTTATGGTTAGGGCAGTAACAGTTGCCAGAGCATGCCAGGTACCGATAGGTCAATTAGGACCTCTGTAGTTGGGATCAGGTCCCTTTGAAGTATGTGGCCATACAGAAGAGGAGTGGATATTTAAGAAAATGGGGAATGTCAGGTCTGTGGGGAAAGGGGAAAGAAAATGGATGCATCCTGTGGACAGCCATCACTGTCTACCATATCTGAGTTTCCCATATCTGTCCTGTACCTATATTGCTCTCCTAATTCTAACAAGTTTTTTCTGTGAACTATATCTTCTTTTCTAAATGCTGCCTATCTTCAAAGACTAAGATGATACTAATTCAATAACTTTAACTGTTTTGAACTCTTATTAGCACTAAGCATGTCATGACATGCCTCATGCCGTGCATGGTGTTCTAGTCATTTGGTGTATACATGTACCCATAAATATACAAGTTCCTTTAGGATAGGAAATGTGCCTTACTCACCTTTACATTCTGATGCACTCTTAGCAGCTTTGAAACTATGGAACAAATTATTTGTCAGTAAAATTTATTTTCCACACAATACAGATTTAATATTTTTTATCTAAACTTTAGATCTAGGTTGTTATATATTTCACATACTGCCTTTATGACTTAAAAAACTAGCTTTCAGAAATAATTTGTTAGGATAACTCAATTTTTTAATCTTTCAGGAGAATTTGGCTTACGGAGATCATCTTTTTATTTCCTGAAGCCATCATATTGGTCAAAAAACAAAAGAAACTATAAGGAGTTATCAGAGGGCAATGTTAACGGGAATATTAGTTTTAGTGAAATTGTCGAGCCTGTTTCTTCAGAATTTATAGGAAAAGAAGCCATAAGGTATGTTTTCACCTTTGGCAATTTACCTACAAGAAGTTATGATGGTACCTGCCACATTTAAATCCTATCTTTTAAATAATGTTTGTAAGTATGGTATTTTAGGATATTTGGTACATACTTCATGGTTTTTAAACACAATAAGAGCTACTTCTCTTTTAAGTTATTTTCTTTGTATCCATTTAGAATAAGGGTGCTGCCAGGTTTGTAGTTTTCTGTTTCAGTGGAAATTTTTTAAAGTAATAAAACCTAGTGTTTATATAATTGAGGTCTTAAATTTACTCCATTATGTAGATGGAAACAGAACAAGTATTAATTTTATAATTTTATTGAGGCTACTTGAAGTTATACAACATACTGTCCTGGGTTAATTTCATAGACTCTTAGGCATTGTGACAAAATTAGATTATCAGTTAAATTTCTGAGAATCAAAGAAATTCATTGCTCTGCCTTGTTAGACCAGTCAAAATCAAATTTTTAAAAAAACGAGAAAGAGAAAATAAAGAAAATGAAAATGAAAGAAAAAGTGAAGTATCAATGTATATTTTTAAATTTAAGAATACTATATAAAAGCAGAGTCAGATACTCAGGATGTAATCAGTGAGTTAGTGGTCTGCCTTCCCCAGGGTGAAGTTCAGACTGGTTAACAAAACTGTTAATTCCTTAAAAAATTATGTAAAATACTTAAAATAGAGAATCACTTCCTATTTATTGGCAATTTGAAATGTGTGCTGATGTGAAATAGTATTTGATTTTTGATCTCCCTTAGCTTGATATAACAAGTATTTGATAAACTGCAAACAGGTATCAAAGATGGAAAGAAATCTATAAATTGCTTGAGTCAAATGCTTCACTTTTTATTTTTAGAAGTTGGCTTGTCATGAAAAATGAATAACACTTTAAATGGAGAGGAATACTGTATACTTACGTAATTTCTTTAAAATAATTTTATAATTATTGTCAGCTCTTAGGTTTGTTTCAGTAAGAAGGTAGTATATTATTATTCCTATTTAGTGTGGCAGCTTTGATAAAAATATATACCTGGAAACACAAGTTGCTTTCAGTATCTAAAGTAGAAAATGGTGTTTTTCAGAATCAGTGGTATTCAGAAGACATATAGAAGGAAAGGTGAAAATGTGGAGGCTTTGAGAAGTAAGTAGCTTTACTAGTATTTAGTCCATAGTACTAAATGAAAAAACAATTTGCACAGTTTATGGGAAACTTAAATTCTTTACCACAATTTTCTCTCTTTCCTTTAGGTATGCTTTCACCTATTTCTGTGATCAGTAGTCATAATAAAACTTTAATGTTCATAATAAAAACAGCAACACCAAAATTAGTAAAGGAAAAAATATTAAGATGAAAAATATTCCAAATATTTGAACAAATCCATCCTTTTTCATTTTATTATTAGTATGTATGTGTGTACATGTTAATTACTTTGTTTTTTCTTTAAACATAGTATTTCTCAGCCTCAGCACCACTGACATGTTGGGCCCAATGGTTCTTCATTGTGAGGACCTGTTCTGAGAATTGTATTTAGAAGTGTGTTGGTCGGGGTTCTTTAAAACCGATAGATTTTATATACACACACACATAACTAGAGCAGGTGAGCTGGAGGGGAGGGGGCAAGAAAGAAAGGGGAGGTTATTTTTAAGGAATTGGATCACATGATTATAGGATTGGGCAAGTCTGCAGTCTGTAGGGCAGACTGGCAACCTGGACACTCAGGCAAGAGTTGAAGTCCAAAATTCACAGGTCAGGCTGGTAAGCTGTAAATTCAGACAAGATCTGTGCTACGGTCTTGGTAAAGAATTATTCTTCCTTAGGGAACTCTCAGTTTTTGATTTTTAGGCCTTCAGCTGATTGGATGTGGCTCACCATTATTATTGAGGGTAATCTCCTTTACTAAAAGTCAGCTGGTTGTGCATGTTAATCACATCTACAAAATACTTCACAGACAACTGGGCATCAAAGCTTTAGCCAAAGTGACACATTAAATTAACCATCACAAGTAGCATCCCTAGTCCCTACTAGGCTCCCCTGTCCCCAGTTGTGGCAACTAAACTGTGTTCAGGCCTTGTCAAATGTCCCCAGGTGGTGGGAAAGATAATATCCATCCACCCCTGGTTGAAAACTTGGCTTAACATGTAGACTTCTAGATAATGTTTGTTTTATTGTTTTCTTACTGCCAAAAATGTATAACATTTTCCTATTTTTAAGGTCTGTAGGCTCTGTAGTGATTTTCCCATTTTTACTCTTGAGATTTATTATTTTGTACTTCTTTGTTTTCTTTTTTTAGCAGGAGTTTATCAGTTAAAACAATTTTTTGGCTTTATTTAATCTGTTTTCTGTTTCCTAAGTTTTTGCTCTTTATTGTTTTCTTGTTTATACTTCCTTTACACTTAAATTTATTTTTCCCCCCTGAATTCTTAAGACAGATGCGTAGATCATTATATAGTGATGCATTTTAAGTATATTAATTTTCTTCTAAGCATGGAAATGATTCCATTTATATAAAATCATAGAAAAGGCAAAGTATAGTAAAAACAGATCAGTGTTTGCTTGGAGATGGGTAGAGAGGATAGCAAGAGGCTAGGGAAAGAAATTTTAAAGCAACACAGGAACTTTTTGTAGAAGATGGATAAATGTTTATTGTTTTGATAATGGTAAAGGTTTTACAGTTGTATACTCATGTTGAGCTTACCAGATTGTTCACTTTGCATATGTAGTTTATTGTTTGTCAACCATGCTTCAGTAATGCTGTCTAAAAGACTAAATCAAGTGATTATAAATGTGAGGTTTAGCTTCTGGACTCTGTTCTGTTCTGGTCTGTTTATCCTTCTAGACTGTTTTGAACTAGTGAATCTTAGTAACTTTAAGTATTGTATTTTGAACTCTATATTTCCCCTGTAGAGTTTAGAATCAGCTTGTCAAGTTTCAGCAGTGCACCTGTTTTGGTGAGTTGTTTGTTTTCGAGGAAATTTTCCATTTTCATTGTCAAATTGATTGTTACAGGTTGTTAGTAATAATCTCTTCTTTCTAATGTCTGGGGAATCTGTAAGGTGTTTCCCCTTTTCTTAATCTATTTAGTAATATCAGCTTTGCCTTGGATTTGGTAATTTTATTAATCTTCTCAAGGAATCAACTTCTGCCTTTGTTGATTTTCTTGATCATACATTTGCTTTGCAGTTTATTGAGTTATGTTACTTCTCTTTACTATTTCAGTATTGCTGTTTCTTAGGCTTTGTTCTGTTTTTTCTAGCTTCTTGATATGGAATCAGTTATCTATTCCTGTGGACTATTATGCTTTAGCCATTTAGTGGCTTAAGGCGACCATTATTTTACCATGGCTAAGAGTCTGGTTTGGCTGGAGAGTCAGCTTGCAGGTTAGTTGGGATTGGCTGGAGGACTGGTATGGCCTCAACGCTGTTGGCTGACAGGCTAGTGTGGCTAGTGGGCTGAGGCTGGGTTATTTACCTTTGGTCCACATGGTCTCATCTTCCAAAGACTAGTTGCACTGGAGGCATTGAGTATTTTTATTGTCATTTCTCATTCTCCCCGTTGGCTTTTTAGTTATAAATGCCTCTTCAAATAAATTAATTTTTCTAGGTATTATGACATGTATCCTTGATTTATAAGTTAGTTCTTTACTATTCTCCAGGCAAAGAAGTCCAGGACCTTACATCTATCCCTATTCCAGTTTATACCATTGTTTTAATGTATTTTAGTCCTACATATATTTTAAACCATAGGTAGTGAGTAGTCTTGTTTTTACAAGACATTTTGTTTAGGTTTACCTGTGTATTTACCACATTATTTATCTTTGCTCCCTCCTCCATTTCTGATCTGCTGTCTAGGATAATTTTCCTTTTGTGTGGAAAAGATCTTTAAAGGTTTTGAAAGTATTTCCTTTAGTTTGGATCTACTGACGATACATTCTCTCAGTTTTTGTTGGTAAATATCTTTTTTTCACCTTCAGTATTGAAGGACATTTCTCTGAATACATAATTTTAGTTTGGTACTTACTTTTTTCAGCAATTTAATATTATAGAATTCCGTTTGTTACCTTTTTGTTTCCATTGTCTTGGTTGTAAAGAGAGCTGTTAGTTCCTTTATTTCTCTATTGTTGGTATATCCCTTTTTCCTGGCTGTTCTTGAAGATCTTCATGTTTGTTTTTAGTTTTCAGCAGTTTTACTATGATGTGCCTTGGTGTTTTTTGTTTATTTTTACATCTACTCTGCTTTCGTTATATACTGCTTTTTGAATCTGTGACTTGATGTCTTCTTTCTGTTTTGTTTTCAGCCATTTCTTTTCCCATATCATTTCTGTACTATTTTCTCTTTTCTCTCCCTCTAGGTTTATTATTGCATGTTACCGCTTTTTTTTATCCTATTTTGTCTTTTATTCTCTTTTCTCAATATTTTATTCCTTTGCTTCTCTCTGCATTAGTCTAGATGTTCTCTTCTGACTTGTCATTCACTAATCTCTTCATTTGGGCTTAATCTGCTGATAGACTATTGAAATCTTTTTCACTGATCTTTTCTAGTTTTTGTCTTTCCACTGGATTCTTTCATGTAGTTTTCAGTTCTTTGTCAGCATTCTTTTGTGCACTTGATAGTATAGCTACACTAAAATCTTGAAATACAGTGCCAGTGTCTACAGACATCTTCCTAATTTCCTATCTTTTGTATTGGGTTGTAGTGTTACCTTGTTACCTGCTGCCTGATTATTTTGGACTGAGTGCTGTATTTTGCATATGAAAATTGTGGAGATTCTTTGATACTCTGGTTAATGTGATCTTCCTCTTGAGAGGTTTATTTTTGCTTCTGGCTTGCAGCTCTAGGGATATTAATAATCTCAGATTGCCTTCATTAAATCAGGGGCTACAATGATTTGAAGCTGGCTTTTCAGATCCCTGTCTCCTGTCTTCCTTCAACCATTGACACATCCATCCAGTGATATTTCTTCATTCCATTTTTCTTTTATTTAAATTTTATTTCTTTTATTTAAATTACATAGCCATTACCATGCTATTGGTTAATTTCAAGTGTTTTTGCCAATATATTTAATATGTAAATACAGTGGGAACAAATTTCTGTTTGTCTCTGTTTTAATTTCCTTGGAAATTCCTAAAAGTAGGTATACAGAAACATTTCCAGTGTTTTTTGTACCCTCTAAATCTGTTAGTCTGACAGAAAATAAAAGTTTATTTTCATTACTTTTCTTATTGTTCATGCCTTTTACTATAAAAAGAATTATATTTATGCTGTAATATAAAATATGCTATTGAATATGCTGGTAACTTTAAATCTGTCTTTAAATTTGATGATTTATTTCAAGATTGCTCAAGTGTTATGAGTTCTCTTGCATAGCTCAACAGACATACCAGTCTTCTCTTTCTTTCCTGAATTAGATTTGTCTTTTGACATATATGAGGGTCAGATTACTGCATTACTTGGTCACAGTGGAACAGGGAAGAGTACATTGATGAATATTCTTTGTGGACTGTGCCCGCCTTCTGATGGTGAGTTTTCTGACTTAAAGTATAAAAAGTTTCTCATTTCATTTTATTAGTATTGTTAACCAAAGTTTCACAATATAATTATTTCTCCTTGAAATGTGTACTGATTGATTTTTGTGTTACTTGGCACCAACCTCCGTGTCTTTAAGACTGTTTTGTCTTTTTGATTAGACACATTTGTTTGTTTTTCAGTAAAAAATTAAAAAATGATTCAGTCATGTTTAGTAAAGTAAAAAGATATAATTTCCTACCTATTTTATCAGAAATTTTGTGTTTATTTTTCATTTTTAAGGAAGGATACATGAATAATTAATTAAGAATTAAATAACATCTGTAGACATTTCAGGTTGAGAAGATAGATTTCTGAATATGCAACATCTTTCAAAAGGAAAGGATTGTTTTCTTTAAAAAAGAAAGAATGAGAAATGTCAATACCATCTCCTAAAATAGAATTTTAAGAGCAGTACCTCCAGGGTATAATTGTTATGTGGTTGTACTGTGGGTGAGAATTCAATATGACAGCTCCATATGTCTACAATAACCAAACAGAATGGCAGTCAATAAATATTTAACTTGAAGAAAGGGCTGAATTTACATGTATTGAATCTGCATTTTTTTAAATGTAGTTTAACTTTTAAAATTAGTTTGATTTTGTTGCTTATACTTAATTGTGTCATTTTTGATAGTAGAAATAATATACAAGAATTATTATTTTTTATAATTCTCTATACATTATCACATTGATTTAATTGTTCTTAAGTGGGATATATTAAGTATTCAGTTTATAGAAGAGAAAAGCTGGAATTCAGAGTAAGTAATTTTCTCAAGACCGCACAGCTGATAAGGGGAAAATTTTTAGCTCTTTGTTCTCTCTTCTGTTACATAATGCTTGGAGTTGAAGGAAAATTGTTACTAGAATATAAATAATGCACCAATAGATACTGATACTTAGTGCTAAGCTTCTGGTTCCTTGCTCTTTCCTCTGTGTGATGATGACCTGGTAATGAAGGAAAAAGATTCGACTATAAATGGAAGCAAATCACCAATAGTATGGAAATGAGAGTATTATCTTCCAAATTTATATATGTTACGTACACATAACTAAGTTACTGGCATCTATTAATGTATATATACTTCTTAATACTTAATATATTTAGTATACATTTAAATACATATATTTTGCTTTTAGGATTTGCATCTGTATATGGACACAGAGTCTCAGAAATAGATGAAATGTTTGAAGCAAGAAAAATGATTGGCATTTGTCCACAGTTAGATATACACTTTGATGTTTTGACAGTAGAAGAAAACTTATCCATTTTGGCTTCAATCAAAGGAATACCAGCCAATAATATAATACAAGAAGTATGTTATTCATAAAGAAGTTTTTTTCTTTTATTCCCTGTAAATTAATAACCTTTCATAATAACTTGTTTAATAAAAATGTACTTGAAAATCTAAACATAAAACATGTTCTGAGCTAGTTCACAGGAAGTCATTACAAAGAATTAGATGGAATTTGGAGTAAATGTTTTGGCATATACAAAACAGTCCTTGTGTATCTGCAGGGTTCCAGCCTCTCCGTGTTGGTGTTTCCTTCTCCCTTTGCTTTCACCTCTGCCCCCAGCCCTGCCACGTAGAGACTCCATGCTGACCCCTTCCCTGCTACCCAAGAGCCGAAAGTAAAACAAGACCTTCCCAGCAGGAATCTGTTTCTGTTATTTCAAAAGTATATATGAATGTATGTCAAAATTCGGTACTGAAAAACTTGATATTGAAATCAGAATAAAAATTAATATTGATAATTATGTAATTGGTATGATTCAAAAAATAACATTATTCTTACCTTTACAGGTGCAGAAGGTTTTACTGGATTTGGACATGCAGGCTATCAAAGATAATCAAGCTAAAAAGTTAAGTGGGGGTCAAAAAAGAAAACTGTCTTTAGGAATTGCTGTTCTTGGGAATCCAAAGGTAAATAAATAATAATTTCACTGATGAGATTATTTTAAATTATGTTAAATAAAAAAGTGGGTTGTAGAAATATATATATACACACACACACGTAAGTGCATTCTATAAAGTTTAAACATATAAGATACTATACATTATTATGGATGTAATTATAGTAGTAAGGTTTTAAAACTGAAGTCAGAATGATATATAGCATCTTTATAATAATAGTTACTTCTAGGAAGGAGAAGAGAAAGGATGGTCAGACTTTAGTTATACAGTTGACCCTTAAACAACATGGATTTCAACTGAACAGGTCCATTTATACATGAATTTTTTTCAACAAATATATTGGAAATTTTTTGGAGATTTGTGACAATTTGAAAAACTTTTTATTTAGCCTACTTTATTGAAAGAATATGGTATAGAATACATATAACATACAACATGTGTTAATTGACTTTGTTGTCATTAAGGCTCTGGTCACAGTAAGATTAATAGTTAAACTTGTGGGGAGTCAAAAGTTATACATGGATTTTCCACTGAGCAGGGTTCGGCACCCCTAATAAGCCCTGTGCTATTCAATTGTCAGATGTAGCTGAAATGTTGTATACCTTTAAAAAAAGATGTGAAGAAAATACAGCCAAAATAAAACATTTGTTAAATATTAAAGGTGGCTATACCAGTATTATTCTCTTATTTTCTATAGTTTTCTACATATTTGTAATAGTTCATAATAGAAATTTAAACACATAAAATCAAAGAAACTGTTTTTCACTGTCGTGCTGACTACATTTTGTTAAGTGTCAGTTTGTGCTGTTCTCTGTTCTGTGGAAACCCAACCAGTTCATAATGGTCTGCACAGTGCCAGAAAGCTGCCAGGGCCGCGCCTGGAGCTCGGAGCCCCACAGGTCTCCATCCTGCCAATCTCCTCTGGCTGCTGCAGCTTAGGGATGGCCCTGGCTTCTAGCTTATGCTAATCTGTTTTCCTCTCAGCCTCCACTACTGCGTTTTTCAAATTAAAAATAGTCTTAAAATTGCTTCTCTTCAACTGATAATAATAGGGCATACTTCTCTAATAAGCAATTATTATATCTGCAAAAATTCAGTTCAGGTGAAAGCAATATACTTAATATTTTTAGTTTACTTACCTGATTATTAATATGTCTTAGATATTACAGACATTAATCTTTTAAAATTGAAATATTCTTTTTTAAAGTAAGTTTGGCATTCATATACCAAAGTGATAATTTCAAAACTTTATAGTAATTCATATGAGTGAAAAAATCAGACCTAAAGTGTTTCTAATTGGAAATAATTTGAAATGGTTCATGTCCACATAAATTTTATGTATATTTTAGTTTTCCTGAGGATTCCCTGCCCTTCCTTTCATACAGATACTATTGCTTGATGAACCCACAGCTGGAATGGACCCTTGTTCTCGTCATATTGTTTGGAATCTTTTAAAATACAGAAAATCTAATCGGGTGACAGTGTTTAGTACTCATTTCATGGATGAAGCTGACATTCTTGCTGGTGAGATTTTTACCTCTATTTTTGAAGGAAAAGGTTATGGAGCCAAATGAGAGGTGGACATAGAAATGCTAATCCTATTGGGGAGTCCTGCAGACCACCCCAGGTCCAATAATTTGCTCAGAGAACCCATAGCACTCAGCATATAGTCATGTTCACGAGGCTGAGTTATTATAAGGAAACTGAAAGGGTACCAAGCAAAATCAGCAAAGGAAAAAGGCACCTGGGACATGGAGGAAACTAGACACAAGCTTCCAGGAATCCTCTCCCAATGGTGTCACACGGGATGACAGCAGCTATGAGCTGTTAAAGTGTGTCAAACGTCTAGTGGGAAAGCTCATTGGAGACTTAGTGCCCAAGGTCTTCACTGGGTACTGGTTATATAGGCACCCATTGCCTAGCATATACCAGAATTCCAGAAGGAAAGCAGGTGTTCAGCCCAGTCCACGTTGTTTGTCTAGTTTAGGTACAGTGGGCCACCCTTGTCTGTTCTGGGAATGGTGAGAATCCTCCTCAAATCTAAGCTCGCAGACACCAGTCAAGGACCTGCCTCGTAAGCAGGCCTTTCTAAGAATAGTCTCTGGCCTGCTCCATTAATTGTTTTCTGCACAATTTTAAACACATACAAATATACAGAATCCAGGTTTAAGCCAACATGTGATCTTAATAACTGTGACAAGATCCAAGAATTTGAAATTCTGGAGTAATTTCTTTATGATATAATCTAATAAATGAAATGTGTCATTTGCTTTTCATTAGTATCTTTGTTTAAAAAAAAAGTTAAAAAAAGACATTTTGTTTCTGCTTTTTTGTTGTTGCTTTTACACTTAGTTATAAAGGAAATAGTGAAAATACTTGAATTAGTAAGCTTTTTTAGGAATGGTCTGAGTTATTTAGAATAGTATAAAGAAAGTAGACTCTAGAGTCAGACTGGGTACAGTTCCTGGCTGTGACACTTAATAGCTACATGAAACATGGCCAAAATACAATTTTTTTCCTTTCCTCAGCATTCTCATTGAAAAAATAGGTAATGATAATTTAGTACTTTCCTTGTAAGGTTATTGTGATAATTTAATGATATTTGATGATGATATTGATGTCTCATTCAGTAATCCATAAAATGCAAGTGCCAGTTGTTAAATGTTGTTACTAAAAAATTGAAATGTAAATCTCTGTTTGCAGATAGGAAAGCTGTCATATCACAAGGAACGTTGAAGTGTGTTGGTTCTTCGATTTTTCTCAAAAGTAAATGGGGGATTGGCTATCGCCTGAGGTATCTTTCATTCTTTATTGATTTCATTCTTTATTCTTGGCCTACTATTATATATTTTGGGTTTGTCTTAGTGTGCTCTGGCCATTTTTTTATGGCACTCACTTAAACATTCAGAATTTGCTTTTGGTTGTTTATTGAGTAATCATAAAAAAATGATGATTTTTGGTTTCTTCTAGTATGTACGTAGACAGATACTGTGCCACAGAGTCTCTTTCTTCTCTGGTTAAACAACATATACCTGGAGCTACTTTGTTACAACAGAGTGACCAACAGCTTGTCTATAGCTTGCCTTTTAAGGACATGGACAAATTTTCAGGTATAACCTACTTTGAGTTTCTTGGTTCTTGAACCAAGATCTTGTGCTGGGAATCGGTTTTCTTGATTTATTTTGATGTTTACTTTTCTGCGTAATATTTATATGCTCTTACGTGGCCAGAGTTAATATTCCATTTCTGCTTTTCTGCTTTATTTTGTTTTGAAAACCAGAAATACTACAAGTTAATGTTTCTTTTCTTCTTTTTTTTTTACAAACGCGTGCAGAAATTTAATATATTAACTTAAGTAAATAAATGTGTTTGCTTTGTTGTTAAGAAAGAAAAGTTGTATTTGCATGTAGGCCTCCTGTATACATATATGTGTTTATATATACACACACATACACACAGTTTGTATATGCCTCACATTGTTTTCCAGTGATTCTATAATGAATTACATGATTATATGGTAAACCCTTTAATTATTTTAATTGAGCCATTATTTTTCTACTTTAAAATGAACTCGAAGTCAGTCAAGTAAGTGGGATCTCTTAATAACCAAAAGGATGTTGCTGATATCAATATATTTTGCAGAATTCCCATAGCATTTATCTTATAATTAAATAGAAATTTTCTGTGTTAGTTTACTTGGTTTCTTTAGAAGAAGAAAAAGGAATAATTAATTAACTGGTTGGCAGTACATGCCAACTCCTGTCATTCTGTTTGTAAAATATTTTTTAGTTTCCACGTAAAATATAATAAGTATCTAATAGGTCTCCATAAAGAAATACTCCTTAGGGTCCTTAGCAATTTATAGGAATGTTACAGGAGCTCTGAGACCACTGTGCCAGCAGAGTATATGTAGTTAGATCCTAGTTTTGAAGGCTGTTTTAGAATAATTCATGATAATATATTTAATGACACACCTTCTTTCGTTTTTTTTCTTTGAGGCTTATTTTCTGCTCTAGATACCCATTCAAATTTGGGTGTTATTTCCTATGGCGTTTCCATGACGACTTTGGAAGATGTATTCTTAAAGCTGGAAGTTGAAGCAGAAATTGATCAAGCAGGTAAAAAAAAGTAAAACATTTTAGGCAGTGAACCAGACAGATGGTTAACAAGCAAAGTAATAATATAACGTATGAAATTTATATTGGAGAAGAAAAGGCAGAAATAAACAAGTGAATAAATAATCGAGATACTTGCTGATGGTGATAGGATTTGTGAAGGACATAATAGGGTGGTCTTGAGAGACAGATAACTTAGTTATATCTTTAGGGATGACTTTGTTCAGATGATATTTAAACTGAGACCTGCAGAGCAAGAACAGTATAAGTACATGAAGATTTTATTGCAGAGCCTTCCAGATAAATGGAATTGCTATTACAAAGCTGTTAATTGAGGAATGAGTTGGATATCTTTGATAACAGGAAAAGGCCATCGTGGACGGAGCTTAGTGAGCCAAGGGAGGGCAGTTCATCGTTAGGTCAGAGTAGTAGACAAGGGGTCAGATCAGGTTGAATCTTTGAAATCTGCCAAAGGGTTTGGTTGGTTTTCTTAGTGCAATGTAAAGCATCAGTGTTTTTTAAAGCAAAGGGTAACATGATCTGATTTGCATTTTTTTTAATGCAATCTGGTTATTGAATGATGAGTGGATTGTAAAGAAAGTGTGGAAGCAGGAAGACCAGTTAGGAAACTGTGACACTGTTAGCTTGAAGGAGGATGGTTGTGGAAGTAGGAAAACATGAGTAAATTTGGGTTATGTTAGTGATTCTGGTGATGGCTTTTTAGTAGAATAGCTTTAGGGACTGGGGGAAGGGAGGAGTCAAGAATAATCCATAAGCTTTTGGCTTGAGAACTGGGAATGGAATTGCCATTTCCTGAGAATGGGGCAGGAACAGGTTTGTGGACAGAAGGAATCCAGGCATGAATTTTGGCTATATTGTTTGAGATAACTTATTAGACCTCCAAGTGGAGATGTATAGTGGGCAGCTGGATTAACAATTTGGAGCGAAGTGAAGATGTTAGAATGAAAATAGAAATGCTGGAGTTACTCAGAGAGAGAGATGGTGTCCCAGGAATGGATGCAATCACTTAGGGAGAGAGATGGACAAGAGCAGAGGGGCAAGCCTCAAGACTGAGCAATGAAGGAGCCATTATTACTGTTTCTCTCCTCACAAAAGGAGATGTAAAAGCTCAGACAAAATGGTATTTTAGGAAAGAGGAAGTGGTCAGTTATTTGCTTGTTGCCCTGAAGAATAAGGTGAGAACAGAGAAGAAGGTTTCGGAAACAGAAAACAGTGAGAGGTTTGCCGGTGTAGAATCTGGAATCCAGTGGTGACCTTGATGAGCCGTTTCTGTGGTGTGGTAGAGACCAAAGCTGGATCTGTGTAGTTAAGGTGAGGCTAGAAGTCGAAGAAAGTTTTCCCATGACTGAAGGTTAGCGAGATGGTCATGGTGGTGGGTCAACAGAGTGAACGAAATGGGGATGTTTCAAACATGGAGAAAAGAGAAAAGTTAATGATAGGGACGTGAAACCAGATACTGTTAGGGAAACTTCACATAGGAAGTTTGGATCTTACACAGTTGGAGATGTAACAGGATCTTAAATTTGGGCATGCATCCAGTTGGGTGAAATTGAGTAGAGAGAGATAAAAGTGTGGGAATAGAGGAAGTAAAGGAAGAAGTTAGAGGACAGGATACAGAATGCTTTATCAGTGGATATGTTTGTGATGCCCAAATGATGGAAGGGAGGGAGAAGATGCTTGCACATGTGGTGCTAAATATTGTGAGGTATATGAAGTAGTTTCTAGGAATGTTTGGGAAGGAGGGATAAAGATGAGAAAGAAAGGTGTCCTCCGTTTAGGTGTTACTGGCTCTTTTCTGTAGTACCTCTAAGTCCACCATGCAAAATAAATTTACTTGCAGTATCAGCTTGCTTTCAATGTGGCCAATTTTAATTGTTTCATTTTTCAAAGGTTAGTGTACATCAAATTCTGTAGAAGGTGAATTGGTGCTCACCAAATACCGTGATAGGGATAACAACATTTTAGTACCTGTTTTTAGTTTAGTATTGAGACCAGAGGGATTGGGACTTGTTCGTCTTACTAACGTGTTCATCCAGCTAAATTGTTAAGATGATAAGATGCCAGGATAGCCGGGTCTTATTTAAATACTATTTTATGCATTATTCCACTTCATTTAAGATTTTTAGTGTGTATTCATTTTTTAAATTTAGTCTAAGTCTAAGAGGTCCTTTGTGGCTCTCATGCTGAAGCCAGTTTTCATCTCTGTTAATGATTTTTCTTCTCTTTTGAATTGAATCACTGTTACAAAAATAACATGTCCTGGTTTCTGTCCCATTGATTCGTTTTGTCTGTTTCTGGTAGAATGGAATCAATCATGTACTATGTCTCTGGTGTCTGGCTTCTTATACTTAATACTATGTTTGTAAGTTACGAACTATTGTAGTTATACAATAGTTTGTTCACTTTAATTGTTTTACACTATTGCAGGATTATTTCACAACTTATTTACCTATTGACAGACATTTGGGTTCTTTCTAGGTTATGGCTTTTCTAAATAAGGTCACTAGCTACAAATATTCTTGTTCATGTGTTTTGGTGAGTCTGTGTACGTATCTCTGTTGGGTTTATACCTGAAAAGAGAATTGCCTGGGTCATAAGATATGTATGTTTTCAGTTTTAATAATACTACCAGAGTATTTAAGAGTTTCTTTGTCCTACATCACCATGAGATGTGTGCTGCTTTAAAAGTTTGCCTGCTTCAGTAAGATTTTCATCTTTTCAGGAAATATATATGACTTTCTTTTTGTTTTGTTTTGGCAAATAGATTATAGTGTATTTACCCAGCAGGCACCAGAGGAAGAAATGGATTCAAAATCTTTTGATGAAATGGAGCAGAGTTTGCTTATTCTTTCTGAAACCAAGGCCTCTTTAGTGAGCACCATGAGCCTGTGGAGACAGCAGGTGTACACAGTAGCAAAGTTCCACTGCCTTACCTTGAAACGTGAAAGTAAATCAGTGAGATCCGTGTGAGTATAATTGCTTTTCTGCCTGATGAGTTTTTTTTAAGGATACAAATGGGATTTACCACTTAATTTTAAAAATGTAGACATAAGTAAATAATTTAGGTAGTTTTGAAAGATCAAAACTAATTTCATAATATCAGAGAAAAAATAGGCTATTAGTGATTTCATTACTAAATACCATCATTAGAGCTTTACTGTTTTTCTAAACTAGCATTTTTGGTCTCATCTGTAAAATGAGGGAGCAACAAACAATATTCTTGTGTAATTTTGAATTATTATCATTGTATTTAAATTCTGTTTTGCATTTGTAGTTCCACAGTTGTTTTGCATCTGTTACTAATACAAGCATTAAACAGCAGGAAGAAGAAATTTTATCCCTGTTTTATCAGATAAAGAAACTGAAATATAAAGAAAGCTTTATAGCTGGTATAACTGGGGTCACAGTGGCATCTTTTCAGCTTAGCTTTGCCTCTGCTGGGTTTCCAGGGAGTACTAGACATTGAATTATTTGGAAATAATACTAAGTACCTTCATATGTCACATACCTATCTTGTTAGATCCAAAATGGAAGTAGAAAAAAAATGTAATCATCAAAAATAAGATTATTGTATGTGTTTGAAATTTGCTGAATTCATTTGCTTTTTTGCCCTAATTCCGTATTGAAGAAATGTCAATAACATACCTGATTTATTCCTCTCAGCAGTACCAAAAGAAAAATATTTATTTAAAGCAGCATATTTCGGTTTGTTTAGTTGAACACTAATCTCATGTAATACTCCATGAAGAACACAAGAAGTGTCTTAGCTCGAGCTGTCATAACAGAATAACACACTGGGTGGTTTGAATAACAAACACTTATTTTCTCACAGTTCTGGAGGCTGGAAATCAGATGAGAGTACCAGGATGGTCTGTGTCAGATGAGGACTCTCTTCATTGCTTGCAGATGGGCCACTGTCTTGCTGTGTGCTCACAGGACTTCTTTTTTCTGCACATATAGAAGAGAGAGCAAACTCTCTTCTTATAGGGGCACTAATCCCATCATGAAGGCCCCACCCTTACGACCTCATCTAATCCTGATTATCTCTCAAAGGTCTCATCTCCAGATAGTACTACATTGGGGGTTAAGGCTTCAACATATGAATTTGTGGGGGGGACTGACACAGTCAGTGTATAACAAAAAGTGTTTTATGGCCAAGAGTGCATTTCACCATCTGTGCATTTAGGAAATACTGTATCTTACATCTCCTCTCTTAAGGAAATAGTCATTCATTTGCATGTAGAAAACACAGGAGTGGCTCTACGTAAAAGAGCTTGCTTCAACTTTGTTTTCCAACTATTATTTAATCATGATTTTTTGAAATCTTAAAACACCTAGCTCATGTGAAACCTTCATAAGATTGTGTACCAATAATGCCTTAATTTAAAAATGCAGATTCCCAGGGTTCACTCTTGGGATTCTGATTCAGTGGGTCCAGGGTGGGGAACCTGCCTTCTGAAAAAATCTCTCATACAGTTCTGATGCACAATTTGGTGGGAAACTGAGGCCCAGAGGGAGGATGTGATTTTCACAAGTGTGATGTGTACCTCGGTTCTTCCTCTCTTGTAACAGGATCGTGCACCCAGACCCTTTACCAAGAAACTCTGCAGGGGGCCTTTACTGCGGGTGACTGTGCCACAAGCAGAGGCGTGCGTTTGAGGCATGGCTTGGTTTAGCCACTTGTGCTCCCCAGCATTTGCCACAAGAGAAAAAGTCTTGGTGGCTGCCGGTCCTAGGATGATGAGGAAACCCTCTGGAGTCCTGCCCAGCACAGAGAGCCTGGGGCAGATTAGCTAAACTCTAGCTGGCCCACAGACCAGTACATGAGAAAATAAATGTTCATTGTTACTTAAAAACAAATCTAAAGCACCTATTAACTTATTATGGAACTAGGGTTCAATGCAGTATACTTTTGGAAATGCTGATTTAGGTATGCATATAACAATTTAAGAATGATTTTATAAAAATTACAGGATTCCTGAAAATTGCCATGTGCTAATGTGCGATATAATCCACGCTCTCTGTACCCACTTATTGTGACACCTGTCACATTCAATGTAGAGATATTTTTCAGGACAAGAGAAAAGGCTGTCTGCCTTCTAGATATAATGGCATTTGGATGGGTAATAGAATTGTGTACTTGGCCAGCTGCAGATGATCGCCTTTCTAACTGACTCTGCTAGATCTGCTTTGCCTCTAGAGGAGCAATGGAAGTTAATGTGGTGAGGATGAAATGTCAAAGATCTCAGTCAATGCTTCACTGTATTTTTATTTCCTGCTCTGTATCTAAAGTATTTTTGTAGCATACATTTCCTAAAATACATAGAGAGTAAGTAGTTGGAATAGAGGTAGGATGGAAAATACAGTACTTCTTTCATAGAAATAGAGATATAAATGTGATAAAATGTCAGGTTCTTTAAGACTTACACTACAGGTTTACATACCCTATAAAAATTTCAGGGTGACTCTGGTCTAAAATACTTTTATAACTCAGTTGTCACTGAACATTGGTTTTCTGTCCCAACAGTGTTATGAAATCATTCTGTAGAGTAGAAATTCTACTCCCAAGTCTAATTTTTTGTCCCCCCCCCTTTTTTTAAATGCGTACCTTTTAACTGTCATTTGGAAGAAGATTTTCTAAAAAATAGATTTATATATTGATGTATCTTGAGCTGTGTTTTCTTTTATCCCTTTCAGGTTGCTTCTGCTTTTAATTTTTTTTGCAGTTCAGATTTTTATGCTTTTGGTGCATCACTCTTTTAAAAATGCTGTGGTTCCCATCAAACTTGTTCCAGACTTGTATTTCCTGAAACCTGGAGATAACCCTCATAAATACAAAACAGCTCTACTTCTTCAAAATTCTACTGGTGAGAGTGTGTGAAGGTCTGTGAATGTGTGTGTTGGTTGGGGCATGGGGGTGAGGGGTAGATACAGGTCAGAGATTTGGATTTTAGAAATATATATAAGGTAAAGGCATGGTCTGTCACGAATCTAAATTTAAAGACTCCTTATTGAATAACTGACTCTGCTAGATCTGCTTTGCCTCTAGAGGAGCAATGGAAGTTAATGTGGTGAGGATGAAATGTCAAAGATCTCAGTCAATGCTTCACTGTATTTTTATTTCCTGCTCTGTATCTAAAGTATTTTTGTAGCATACATTTCCTAAAATACATAGAGAGTAAGTAGTTGGAATAGAGGTAGGATGGAAAATACAGTACTTCTTTCATAGAAATAGAGATATAAATGTGATAAAATGTCAGGTTCTTTAAGACTTACACTACAGGTTTACATACCCTATAAAAATTTCAGGGTGACTCTGGTCTAAAATACTTTTATAACTCAGTTGTCACTGAACATTGGTTTTCTGTCCCAACAGTGTTATGAAATCATTCTGTAGAGTAGAAATTCTACTCCCAAGTCTAATTTTTTGTCCCCCCCCCTTTTTTAAATGCGTACCTTTTAACTGTCATTTGGAAGAAGATTTTCTAAAAAATAGATTTATATATTGATGTATCTTGAGCTGTGTTTTCTTTTATCCCTTTCAGGTTGCTTCTGCTTTTAATTTTTTTTGCAGTTCAGATTTTTATGCTTTTGGTGCATCACTCTTTTAAAAATGCTGTGGTTCCCATCAAACTTGTTCCAGACTTGTATTTCCTGAAACCTGGAGATAACCCTCATAAATACAAAACAGCTCTACTTCTTCAAAATTCTACTGGTGAGAGTGTGTGAAGGTCTGTGAATGTGTGTGTTGGTTGGGGCATGGGGGTGAGGGGTAGATACAGGTCAGAGATTTGGATTTTAGAAATATATATAAGGTAAAGGCATGGTCTGTCACGAATCTAAATTTAAAGACTCCTTATTGATGTTGAGTGATATATTACAGGAATGAAATTTTTGTTTAAGTGTAAATGATAGTTTTAAAAATATTTGATCTATACTGCTTATAAAATTAAAATTTACTCTTTTAATAGTGACATTTGCAGAGCAGTGTGTTTCATATCAAAGCTTATAGTGAGCAAAATAAACTTCAAAAGTTGAAAAACCTTTAGAAAGAGAGTATGTAATATTTATGCCATTATATATCTAAATAGATGTGTTTAAGCAGTTCAAGAACTAGCTGAAAAATTAGTTAGAATTAAGAAAAATTGCCTTAGGTGCTGACTTTTCATAACCAAGTACATTAAATTTGTAATGGACATATTTGGATTTGCCATTGATATTACATCAATGTCAGACATGAAAAATAAACATGGTCTTGAGCAAAGCTCAGAACAGATTTAAAAAACTGGCATAGGATTCTGCTTTTCAGAATATTAAAACCTAACTCAAGATTTCACTCATACATAATCATTGTTCCTACAACATCTCCCACCTGCAGAGTTAGTTTGTAGTCCCAAAATCCTTGAAGAGTAATTCAAGGTTTGCTAACTGGCAGATATACAGCAAACCAGAAATAGCTCCTTTGCTTATCTTGCCTACTCTTGGACAGAAAATGTTGTTTTACAGTTTGTTTCTTTTGAAAGAGTTCTTGTACTTGGTTTTAATAAACATTTCATGTTGCTGAAGTACAGTACTGCATGGAGCCTTATATTCTGATATTGTGACATTTTTGTGTATTCAGGAAATTGTACATGAATCTCAAATATCTGGGCTTTGAGTTCAGCCTCACTGATCTGCAGAAAGTCTAGTATTTTCAAAGTTTTGTTCCTTCTGTTTTTTTTAGTATTTCTAGAGTTGCTTACATATGTATCTCATATTTTCCTAGTCCTTGTTGTTGGTCCTAAATAAAACCACATTTCCTTTGAAAATAACTGGCCTTTGTGTGTATGTATTAGGTAGTGTCTTACTCTCCTTGCGAAGCTTTTTGTATCTGAAGTAAACATACAGTTCCTTTAGTTAAAACATCGCTCTCTTCCTTAAGAGTCCTGAGTCAGTCTGTCTAGCCTAAGAGGAGAGATCAGTTAAGACACCAGATGAAGAGTGAATGCAGCACTACATTAGCACCCTTCTCTCTGACAGACACGCACACTGTGCTGAGTCTCATCTACTCTGCCTGCCATACCGCCTAGTTAGACTGTTTGCTTGCTTTTGATTTCTCACAGTCACATTTGTCCTTCCTTGCATCCTGGCTTTTGCGATGATGGAGGAGGACCTGTTTGCCTTCATTAAACATGTTAGTAGTATAGATTTAAACCTGAAACAAGGTTCAAAATCTTTCCCTTGTCTCCAGGCAACTTAAAAATGTAGATGGAGACCTGATTCTATGTTTTAATATTTTAAGGCAGTTAAGGCAATCGATACTTAGGAAATTTGCTACTCAAAGCACAGAGAAACCCTCTAAGGAGTTATGTCACTGAACTCTATACCTCGATATCTGCCTTTCTGGGTATCTTGTTAGATAAAATTGCCAGATCAAGTTCTTACTCTCACTCTTTATCCAGATTTCATCTGAGTATTATACATAAACTTTCAGTGTGAGTCACGGTAGTAACAGGAGCAGCTGAAATTTGGACAATTGCTATGTGCCAGGTTCTGTTCCAAGGCCCGCGTATGTGCATTACTTGGATTTGAATCCCGCCAGTGCTCTTAGTTATGTCTTACCTAATGAAGATAAAATATTTGTTTAAAAAGTTCTTTCCAGTGTTATTAAAAGCCTGTGTCTGTTTCCCATTTAAACTGATTCTTTATTATTTGTTTATTTTCTAATACCAGACTCAGATATCAGTGATCTTATTAGCTTTTTCACAAACCAGAACGTAATGGTGACGATGTTTAATGACAGTGACTTTGTGTCCGCTGCTCCCCACAGTGCAGCTTTAAATGTGATGTATTCAGAAAAGGTAGGAGTAATGTATGTGAATGAATACCTATTTGAAAGTTACGAAAGGCTAAGATTTCCTCTAAAATTAATCATTTGCTAATTTGACCTCATTAGTTGGAAATTAGAATTAGTTTTGGAAGTAGCTGGATGACTAATATATAAAACTATAAGGTGTTTATTTTTATGTTAATTTTTGTTTAAAATAATCAAAATACCTGTAGATTCCAGGTTGTCTTTATCTTATGAGTATTATTTCTGTGATTGGTTGAGCCAGCTTTTAGGACAGTTAGTGAATGAGAAAAGCTTGCTGCTGTGCAATAATTTATCTACTTATATTTAATGGTGCAGTGCAATAGTTTACTTATATTTAATATATATCTACTTTAGTAGATGTAATTTAATATGTATCTACTTATAATAAATCCCTCTGTTTTTAAATTGTAGGACTATGTTTTTACAGCTGTTTTCAACAGTACTATGGTTTATTCTTTACCTGTATTGATGAATATCATCAGTAACTACTATCTTTATCATTTAAATGTGACTGAAAGCATCCAGGTCTGGAATACCCCATTCTTTCAAGTAAGCAAACTTAAAAAAAAAAGTGTGTGTGTCCACATGCATAACTATTAAAAAACAAGCGATAACACAAAATCATGTAGATGTTTATCTTGTGACACCTCTTCTTAAAACTTGACTGGGGATGGCTTACATCTTGGTTGGGAGTATTCTATATTAGTTTGCTTCAGGGTCAAGAAGGTTCTTTCTTGGTACTGATATTTTTGTTAAGCATTAGTGTATTTCTGTTAATCGTAGAAGAAAAATTAAGATAACTTAAAAATGAATACTGTTCACCTAAAAATTTAGATACTGGAGTATTGAAAGAACCTTGAGAAGTCACCCAGGCAATTATTTTTGCTTTAAATAGGACTGTTTGTTGGATTACAAATATGATAATTAACTTTAGTCTCTAGAAAAATAATCAACATTTTTCTTTCAATGCTTTTTTTTATATATTGAGAAATACTGACAAATACATTTCTGTAATAGCATTTCTTTTTTCCATCGCTGTACTTTCTTTTAACAGCTTCATGAGATGCACTTCATCTAATTCACTCATTTAAGGTGTACAATTGAGTAGTTTTTAATATGTTCACAGAGTTCTGAAACTATCGCCATGATAAGTTTTGTATTTCATCATTCACTTCCTTAGAAACCCTTGTACCTAGTAGTAAAATTACTCCCTGTTCTTCCCAACCCCTCTCCTGAGCCAACCACAAATCTATTTTCTGCTTCTATGGCTATGTAATCTACACCCAAACTTTTTTTAGTTTGCTGTAATCATTTGCCATCCTTAAAAAAAATATTGAAGATTAGTTTAATACTCTTTTTGTTAGTTATACGTAGACAGGGGAGCAAAGTACCATTAGATTTGCATTTTGAAGAGGTCACTGACACCAGAATGGAGAAGGATTTCTGTGGGCTGGGAGAAATTGTGGAGAAGAAAGAAAGTTAAAGAAATCAAGTTAGAGATTCTTTCACTGAATAATTTAGATGAGAGGATATGATGAGTGTGAGTTAATGCAGCAGTAGTGACACTAGTAATATAAGGAAAAAGATGTTGAAAAATAAGTGGCATCCTTCATCACTGTTGGATTTGTGAGGTGAGAAGAAAGGATCCTTACTTAATTCTTACAGTTACAGGTAATGTGGTGCCTAATAGTATCATTCACCACTTTTGACAATATAGGCAGAAGAGAGATTTTTGTTGTGGTGGAATGAAAATAATTGGTTTCAGTTTGGGCCTATTGGTTGTTGGTGTTCCTGTTGTATTTCCTTGATGGACATGTAGTAGGCATTTGAATGTGTAAATCTGGAAGGATTTCTGGACAGGAAATAAATATTTGTGAGTCACCAGTACCTAGGTAATAATTGAAGTCATCAAAGTGGTAGGTCGTCCCTTCTGGGTTTTTTTATTGTGAAATATTTCAAGTCTGCAGAAAATAAACAACTACGTATCTACTATCCAAATGTTAATATATTGTCATACTTCTTTTTATCTAATAAAACCTTAAAGATACAGTTGAAACCCAATGTGTACTCCTCCCCAGCCTTGTTTCCTTCTCTCCTCCAGGAAGTAATCACAATTCAAAGTTTATAATTCCCATATATATTTTTATGATGTTACATTTGTGTATATTCATAACTATTACAAAAGATCTTACAGCTTACATTTTCTATCAAACACTGGCAGAAAACCATACCATTTTTTAAAACTAGAGGGGAAGAAATGAGACTTTTTAGAGCTCACTATTCATAGAAAAAGTCTTATTAATGTGCCACATCTTTTTTCTTTCATCATATCTGTGACTGAATTCAAGTGCAGTCTCATTTATCTCCATTTCTTGTACTACTTAGCGTATGTATGTGTTGGTTCTTTCTGGGTCTTCCACTTTAATATACTAGAGTTTGGGACAAATTCTACAATGTCATATGGCATGAATTAAAGGATTGTCTTTTAAGGCTGGGGTCCACAAGGTGCACTGTTGCCACAGTTCCCATGATTCTGTGGAGACGTGTGCAGGGCCAGGATGTCTGCTGGGCGTGGTGTGCATTCTGTTCTAGCAGAGTACCTTCCTGTCCCATGGGTATATCTTCTTACAGAACAAGGGTCAGGAAATGGCCTTATTAAAGTGAAGAGTAATAGGGTACACTTGGTTCTGGGTAGTTTGTATTTGGTGGCACCATCTGTTTGCTAGGTTGTCTGGAAAAGTTGGCTGTCTGTACCTGGATGCCTGGGGCAGCTAGGGACTTTTGGGGCCTGTGGGAGTTCTCGTCCCACCAGTGGGGAGAAAAAGCTCTTGGTTCCATAGGAAGCTGAGCTTAGGTACAGCTTTTGCTAATGGAGAAGAGGAGGCTGCGGGATCCCAGCTGGCTCATAGTCCAGCAACCAATGAAGGCATCAAAGATCATTCTGAGATGGCCATGTCCACCGCTGCTTTTCATGCACATTAATTTGAATTAAATGATAAAGTATAATTTACATGCCATATTGTCCCGTGCTGCAGTCAAGGAAGCAGAAGTACAGTGGTTTGCTCTGAATCGTATACCATCTAATCAGTGGCAAAGTTGGTAGTGTAGCTTGCTGCCTGTTCACTGTGCCACCTGTTCTTTCATAAAGCCATAGATACTTTAATTGTCTCTTCAGAGGTTTTGATTGTCTTTTAGAAAGTACAAAGACAATATGAAGTGATTCTCAGTCCCATTTCTTCTGTGATTGTCTTTCAGGAGATTACAGACATAGTTTTTAAAATTGAACTGTATTTTCAAGCAGCTTTGCTTGGAATCATTGTCACTGCAATGCCACCTTACTTTGCCATGGAAAATGCAGAGAATCATAAGGTAATGACTCAGTTAAAAAAATCATAGGGGTCGTTTGCTAATAAGAAATCTCATACAAAAAAACTCTGTTTTGTGTGTTAGCTTTCTGTATAATTACTATTTTCAGGAGGACGTAAATGGAGTATAAATGCATTTATTATAGTAATAACCATCATTTACTACTTGAGTCCTTGCCGTGTGCTTTAAGAATTACATCCTTTAGTTCCTACAACATTGTGAGGTAAGTTTTATGTCACCCAATTTATTGATACCTCAGGAAATGGAGGATGGCTTTGTTCTCATAATAACACCCAGGTCGACGCACCCTGTCTAAGTAGTTGGTGTAGGAGCTGGCTGTCACGCTTATGTTCTCCTGTGGCATACTAAACCGCCTCCCCCCTTTAACCTTCAGTAGAATATATTCAGTTGTAAGGAGCACTTAATTTTTGTTAAATGGATAAAAAAAGGCAGAGAATGGCGGTGATCAGCAGAGCCAGGAGAAGCAGCTGTGTGTACAGTTTTTTGGTGGTTGGTCACCTTCTCTTCTTTTTCCCTTTGGTGTCCTCAGCAGAGCTTGATCTCGTACAGCGTTTTGCTGTTCAAAGCCTCCCACCCTTATATTCCACTGAAACTGTTCCTCATTTACTCCTCTAATCAAAATTCTCATTCTCTCCAAGTCTGTTTTTAGTTCAGTGGAAGCAAATTTTTCTCAATTAATTTACAGTGTGATGAATAGTGAGGCTAAGCCTCAGAGCAGACAGTTGAATCTCTTAGTAATTTCCTTGAGTGCACGAGTAAAACACGAGTCTCAGCAGACATTTTAAAAATATGTTCAGTTTTTCTGTTATATATATTCATTGTACTAATTTTGATAATAAAGGAAGTATTAAAATAAAAAGTATCTGTAACCCCCCTCATATAAAACTTACTAGATATTGCATTTTTCTCTTTTTTGTTTCAACTCAAATGTTCAATTCATATTTTATTTTGAGATAATTTAGATCCATAAATTATGTTGTAAGAAATAATTCAGCGAGATCCTATGTATCCTTACCCACTTTACCCCAATAATAACATCTTGAAAATACAGTCTCATAACCAGAATATAGACATTATACAACCAAGATGCAGAACAGTTCCATCTCCACAAAGATCCTTCCCACTGACCTTTTCTAGCCCACACTTCGCCCCACCTCCTCCCTGACTTCTCACAACCGCTAATCTGTTCTCATTTCTCTAATTTTGATGTTTCAAGACTATGTAAATGTAATCACAGCATATTTTCTTCTGTAATTGGCTTTTTCACAGTGTATCAGTATTTAATTCTTTTTTATTGCTGGATTGTGTGGTGTGGATCTGGATTGCTTACAGTTTTGACTATTAAGAATCAAGCTGCTGTGAACATTTGCATACAGGTTATGATGTGAATGTAAGTTTTCATTTCTCTGGGAAAAATGCCAAGAGTATAATTGCTGGGTCATGTGGGAATTGCATGTTTAGTTTATGAGAATTTGTCAAAACTGTTTTCCAGAGCAAATACACCATTTTACATTCCCACCAGCAATGTATGAATGAAAAGGCATGGATTATTCAAGATAATTGTCTTAATTTAGTTTATATTTGTATACTTATATTGGAATTTATATTTTCTAATAATTCATTGAATGCAAAGTTGTCCATTTTTTATCATTTCTTTTCCTCCTCTTAACTAATCTGTACATTTTATGTTTCTTTTACCTCTATAGCTAGCTCTTTCATTTAATACCTTTAATTATTAGGAGTAGATGTTTCTATAGATGTTTCTGTAGATTCAACTGAATAAAATTATTAGGTATTTGGATTTATAAGATATTTTTTAAGTCAATGAGAGCATGAGAGAGGAAAAATAAGATCATTTAAGTATACTGTGAGTACACATGCAAATGCTATTTACTTTCATAGTAATAACTTATAATTAGTACACATAAGAGTATATAAGACTTTTTAATGCATTATCAATACAAAGCTTCACATTTAAATGAAAACCCTGTGTAAATCCAGAAGGCACTGGCTATTAGTGTTTTTATGAAAGGTTAATTTTTTGGAGTGAGAATCCTTTTCCTGTTTAAACATCTTTTTATGTATATCCACAGATTTTCAAAAGCTACGATGCTTTAGCTAACTTGCTGTTTGCACAGCTACTACATCATGACACCTTTCACTTTATTTTGTTCTGTGTATTTTAGCTGTTCTTCTGTATTATGATGCTGAAAAACTTTGTTGAAGTTGTTATATATCAGAAATAATGAACCAAATTACAGGTTTAATGTAATTTAAATTCAGCTGGAGGAGGGCTTTTATTACATAGAGACCTAGAATGTGATCTTTATTGTTTTGTTGATTTAAAATAAGAGTTTCACAATAATTTCTAAAAGTTTTTGTTTTTTGTAACATGTTTAAAATTATGATCAATTTTTTCACCCCCCCACCCCCCATTTTTTTTTTTCAGATCAAAGCTTATACTCAACTTAAGCTTTCAGGTCTTTTCCCATCTGCATACTGGATTGGACAAGCTGTCGTTGATGTCCCCTTATTTTTTCTTGTTCTTATTTTGATGCTAGGGAGTTTATTTGCATTTCATTATGGATTATATTTTTATGCTGTAAAGTTCCTTGCTGTGGTAAGTTAACACTAGCTGTAGTACTCAAGCTATTTACAAATCAACTGTTATTTTAAATAACTAAGTCTTTAGAAACATGACAATTGGTTGGTTGATACAATTTTTTTACAGAAAAGAGAACCAGTGTCTATTTAATTATTGCATATGATACCTATAATCAATGCAATTTATATTACTGTAAGTGATTTTAAAAATAACTTAGCATTATTATAAAATAATTATTTGAAACTGAAGTGATATTTCAGGTAGACTTACTTGTGTGTGATCTGGAGCAGTGCTTCCTTAAAAATGTCTTCAGTAGCTCTGTGCCTGAAAACTTCACAAAGAAGCTCTTTTATCCTATAATTTAAAACACGGCTTAAAATACTAAGGAAGAGCATGCTGTGCATTCGTGTTCACATGTAAATGACTGATACTAGACCCTATCTTATGAGTGATTTGTATTAGAAAAAAGGGAAAACAGAAATAGATGAGGTTGGAGTTGCTGAGAGTAACCTTAACATTTTTGCCAGAGATTATATTGACCTTACTTATTAATTTCTGCCTTATAAATTAAGAAAGAAATGTTTTTCTTAAAAACTTCAAAACCGTATTAAGTGCTGTATATTAAAGTGGTAGCTAATTCAGCTAAAGAACAATCAGTTGTAATCAGCTTTTCTCTATAAAATGATAAGAGAGCATTTTACTTAGCATTAAAAAAGTACCACAAATAGTATTCAGTTTAAGTGACTTATTCAGGATTGTGTTAACAATGAATTCAAAGCATGAGTTTTATCAATTTAGGAGAAATGAGCATGGCAATTCCTCAAGAAACTACAGTTTCAGTTTTTGGAGTGATGTGTTGAGCCATAAAATTTGAAAAATAATTATTCCCTAATAGTTTGATGTGGCTCGTGTTTTATATCATAGCCATTTTTACATAAAAATACACATTTCTGTTTTACAGGTTTTTTGCCTTATTGGTTATGTTCCATCAGTTATCCTGTTTACCTATATTACTTCTTTCACTTTCAAAAAAATTTTAAGTACCAAAGAATTTTGGTCATTTATTTACTCTGTGGTAAGTTACATTTTATATTATCTCACCCCAACTTTTCATAGCTTATTTGAAAGTCATGGCTCCTTCAGGATTATACTCAAAACATTACTGTATCTTTTCTAGAATCTTTTTGTGTATGTATTTGCCTTTTGCATCACCCATTCCATGAAGGGGTGACCTTGAAAGCATTTAAGAACTGTATCACAAGCTACGAACAACTGTGCCAGCATACAGCTTTCTGATGCTCCTGGCTAAGTATCAGCGCTGGTCCATGTTCTACTAGAGAATTAAAACAGCTAATGCTAAGACATAAACTTACAAGTATGTTTTGTGTGAAATTTCTAAACACTTTTCACTTATTTTCTCTTTAGACTGCGTTGGCTTGTGTTGCAGTCACCGAAATAACTTTCTTTATGGGCTACACAGTTACAACTATTCTTCACTACACCTTTTGCATAGCCATTCCAATCTATCCACTTCTAGGTTGTCTGATTTGTTTCATAAAGGTAGGTCTGTTAAGAGTTTTAATATTTAAAAAGCATAAATTCTGTTTAGTCTTGGAGATTTCAGTTCTTGTACTCAAAATAGTTTAAAAAAAAGTCATGTTAGCTGCTACTACTTGATTTAAATATTATCAATAGAGCAGTTTAAAATTACTGTAGGATCTTTTAAACCAGGTCTTTAAACCTGAATATCTTAAAAGAGGACACTACCCATTACATTTCTTTGATGACCAAAATGATGTACATAAATTCAAAGTATGACCTGACTTCAGTCATTTTTTTGGTGGGGTGGAGGGAATTTTTCAATGTTTAAGTAATGTTGTGTACTAGAAAGGGATGAGAAAAAGTAAAGTGTAAGATTTTTTCAAAGAAAAAAATAAAACAGATTAGTTTTATTAAGCCTGGATTATTGAAAAAAATTCCATGTGATTAGAAAAAAATCACTTGTTGAATTATTGAGAAGTATGATTGCTGATTAGTTAGTTATACTCACTAACCTTCCTTCTCCTTTCCTCCAAATTTTTGCTTCCATTTAATGTTTATTCCTCCCCAGACAGAAATATTTTGGGATGGGGAAGATACTCATCTAAGTATAAACCATACTTATTAGTATTACAGGCTCATTTATGTATAGAGAATACATGTTTGCTGAACAAAATGCATTTTTTAAAATTTTAATACAAATGTTCCTACACATTGCAGCTAAAAGAAAACTACTCACAGTATTTCTGAAACCAAATGTGTGGGTTTTCCCCAAACATAAAGCAGTTCTGACACTAAGGTGGAGTTAATGCAGACCCCAAAAGTTAAGGGCTCAGTCCCACAAGACTGTCCCCCATTTCAATTTCAAGTAGTGAGACCCCAAGTTACCCACATTTCTGTCTGACTTGGCTACAAATCCAGGGTTCCCACAACCCCTTCTCAGGTTCAATAATTTGCTACAATGGTTTATAGAACTCAGGGAAACCCTTTATTTACTATTATGAGTTTATTATAATATCAATGCAAATGAGCAGTCAGATTAAGAGAGATAATCTCTTAAAGTCTGAAAGAGTCCCAAGTGCAGGAGCATCTGTCCCCATGGAGTTTGGGGTGTGCCACCCTGCCTGAATAGAGATGCACTCACCAACCTGAAAGCTCTTCGAACCCTGTGTTTAGGGGTTCATCAATGGAGGTGTCATTACTTAGGCTGAAGAGTTAACCTCCAAGCCCTTCTCCCCTTCTGTGGTCACTGGTCACTGGGGCTTAAAGTTCCATCCCTCAGTCTCTTGGTTGGTTCCTCTGGCAACCAGCCCCCACCCCCCAAGAGTAACCTGATTAGTACAAATTCACTTTTGATTGAAACGTTTTAAATATCAAAAGATGCTCCTATCATCTCTATTCCTCTGTCACTCAGGAAATTCCAAGGGTGTTAGAAGCTGTGAGTCAGTAACACAGGTCAAAGACCAAATATCATTATATCACAATACCATACATAGCAGCATATAAATTTTCAAAAATTCTTGTCCTAGATTTCTTGGAAGAATATTCAAAAAAATGACACCTATAATCCATGGGATAGGCTTTTGGTGGCTGTTATATCGGTAAGAAATAAAAAAATATGCTTAGCATTTACTTTTAAGAATAGTTTGGTTGTATGATTTTAACTGTTAGTTTTTATTCTGTCACACAAAAATGAAGGTGCATGGAAACTTGAGTGTGTTAGTTAATGCTAGGTAATGTGCATGTCAGTAGTAATACTTTTCATTTACAAATATACGTCCACTTTAATATATTTGGGTTTGTCACGTTATTTATTTGAACTAATTAAATTCTGGCTTCCTCAGTAGCAGAAACACAGCTTTTTTCCTTCAATTACATTTTATGAAGCTGACAACCAATGAACTACAGTGGTAGAAAAGTACGTGAAGGGTTATATTACTGGAAATCTACTTTGATTTGTATTAAAATTTATTCCTAACTCATGTGATATGCAAAAAAAAGTGTGAATTTATATTTTTGGTGATGGTAGGAAACCTGATGTATGTGGTCCTTGTTCTGTTGGTTTAGGGGAAAAAAAGATTCAAAAGATTTGGTCATGAGCTGTGCTGTGTTCTTCTTTTAGCCCTACCTGCAGTGTGTGCTGTGGATTTTCCTATTACAGTACTATGAGAAGAAGTATGGAGGCAGATCAATACGAAAAGATCCCTTTTTCAGGTCAGTTAAATTTTGTAAATGCTTTAGTGTATCTGCAGAGTTGTGCAACCATCACCATCATCTAATTTTAGATCATTTCCTTCACCGCCCAAAGAAACTTTGTACCCATTAGCAGTCACTTCCCAATCCCCCTCCCCATCCCCCACCCCTGTGTAACCACTCCTCTACTTTCTGTTTATAGACTTGCCAGTTTTAAACATTCAAATAAACGGAATTATGCAATATATAGTCTTTTTTTGGCCTGGCTTTTACTTACCGTAATGTTTTGAAGGTTCATCCATGGTGGAGCATGTAGCAGTACTTCATTTCTTTTCTTCCTGAGTAATACTATACTGTATGGATATGCCACCCTTTATCTATTTCAGTTTTGGGCCATTGTGAATAATGCTGCTGTGAACATGCAGTTGGCCCTTGAACAATATGGGTTCAACCTGTGTGGTCCACTTATATGTAGATGTTTGTCAGTAAGTATATTGGAAAATTTTTGGAGATTTGGGACAATTTGAAAACACATTTGCTTTTCTCTAGCTTACTTTGTTATAAAAATATAGTATGTAATACATATGCAAAATATATGTTAATTGACTATGTTACTGGTAAGGCTTCTGGTTGACAGTAGACTGAGTTAAGTTTTGGGGGAGTCAGAAGTCATTTTCAGCTGCAGGTGGGTGGAAGGGGAGGGTTGGTGCATCTAACCCTAACATTGTTCAGGAGTCCGCTGTATAAACCACTGGATATTCCCCACATGCACTGAGGATTCAGCATCTGTCTCTCCTTCCTCTTTGCCCTTATTCCTGCTATCATTCTGGGGGATACATCAGCATCCACACAGAAAACCTTTCTAACAGAACACCCTGACTGCTGAGTTGCTGATTTTTTTCCAAGCCAGGGACTTTGGTCTCTTTTCCAGTTCTCACCTGTTTGCATCAGAGCCGTGCCATCACTGTTCTTCACTTCATCTGTAAAATCTTAAGCTCCAGTGTCCATCTCTACAGTAACTTTTCATTTTCCCAGCTTTCTTATTTTATTAGTCCTGTTGGACTTTACTCCTGTGGTTTCACGCCTGTTGTGTTTGTCCTGCTTTCCCAGTGTATTAGTGATTCCCTGTTGTTACTCTTCTCTCTGTCCAGTCTTGCTCATGTTGTTCATCACCCTCTTGCAGCAGCCTCAACTTCTATATCTTTTTGCCTTACCTATCCACTAGAAATCATGATTTTTAGCAAACCTAATTATATGCTGGAGAAGAATAACAGGTGCAGTTTGATAATACTCCATATTTATCCCATATAAACCCAGCTTTGTTTTGACACTGGTAACCCTACTATGTTTCTCTGGTCAGCACCTTCCTGTCTCTTCAATAGTTATCCCAAGTCATCTTTATATTCCTCAGATTCCCAAATTCACCTTACTTCACCTTATTTCCTATTTCTCAGGAGATGATCTTGCCATCTCAGAAAACAGAAGCAATTATAATACATTTTTACACACCCACATCTCTCATCATTTTTGCATTTTCCCAGTCCCAGAGGATGAGGTACCCCTGTGGTAGAATTAATCTGTGAAGCCATCTGGTCCTGGACTTCTGTTTTTTTGAGAATTTTTTGATTACCAAATTCAATTTTGTTACTGGTGATTGTTCTTCTCAGATTTTCTGCTGCTTTCTGGGTCAGTCTTGGGAGGTTGTACTTTTCTAGGAATTTGTCCATTTCTAGGTTGTCCCATTTATTGGCATATACTTTTTCATAGAATTCTCTAATAGTTCTCTGTATTTCTGTGGTGTTAGTTGTTTTTTTCGTTTCTGATTTTGTTTGTGTCCTCTCTTTTATTCTTAGTAAGTCTGGCTAGGGGTTTGTTTATTTTGTTTCTCTTTTCAAAGAACCAGCTCTTAGTTTCATTGATTTTTTTTGTATTGTTTTACTCTTCTCTATTTTATTTATTTCTGCTACTTCTGCTAACTTTTGGTTTCATTTGTTCTTTTTCTAGTTTCTTTAGTTGTGAGTTTAGACTGTTTATTTGGGATTGTTGTTGTTCTTGAGGTAGGCCTGTATTGCTGTGTCCTTCCCTTTTAGAACCATTTTTCCAGTGTCCCACAAATTTTGGGCTGTTTTATTTTTGTTTTCATTTGTCTCCATGTATGCTTTATTTCTTCTTTGATTTGTTCATTGATTCATTGATTATTTAAAAGCATGTTGTTTAGCCTCCATGTGTTTGTGGATTCTTTCGTTTTCTTTACTTAGTTTGTTTCTAGTTTCATACCTTTGTGGTCTGAGAAGTTGCTTGATACAATTTCGGTCTTTTAGAATTTATTGAGGCTCTTTTTGTGGCCTAGTATGTGATCTGTTCTGGAGAACATTCCATGTGCACTTTAAAAAATTGTGTATCCTGCATTTGAGTGGAATGTTCTGTATTTATCTGCTAAGTCCATCTGATCTAATGTGTTGTGTTGTTCAATGACTCTGCTTCCTTGTTTTCTGTCTGGATGTTCTGTCCATTGATGTAAGTGGGGTGTTAAAAGTCTCCTATTTCTCCCTTTAGTTCTATTAGTATTTGTTTCATATATTTAGGTGCTGTTATATTTGGTGCATAGATATTTAAATGGTTATATCCTCTTGTTGGACTGCCCCCTTTATCATTATGTAATGTCCTTCTTTGTCTCTTTTTACTTTCTTTGTGTTAAAGTCTGTTTTGTCTGATATAAGTACTGCTACTCCTGCTTTTTTCTCCCAATTATTTGCATGAAACATCTTTTTCCATCCCTTTACTTTCAGTCTGTATGTGTTTATTTAGATCTCAAATGAGTCTCTTGTAGGCAGCATATAGGTGGGTCTGTTTCCTTATTCATTTGCCACCCTAAGTCTTTTGTTTTTTTCTGGGTTGTTTCTGTAGTTCCTCTCTGATGCTTTCTTCCCCTCTTATACTCTTCTCTTGTTATGTGATAGTCTTCTTTAGTGTTGTGATTGGATTTCTCTTTAATTTTTTGGGTCTCATAGGCTTTAGGCTTGTGGTTACATTAAGGTTCATAGATAGTTTCCTAAGTATATAATAGTCTATATTAAGTTGATGGCTGCTCTGTTTTAAACACCATCTAAAAGTACATCCTTTTTATTTTCCATCCTCCCCCACACTTTATGTATTAAATGTCATAATCTGTAGTTTTGTATATCCCTTGACTGATTTTGTGTATAGTTGGTGTTACTACTTTTTTTCTTAAACTTTATACTTGCTTGGTAAATATTTATTCTACTACCTTTACTGTGGGTTTATTTTTACTGGTGAAAAATATTTAGGCTTAAGAACATTTCCATCTACAGAAGTCCCTTCACGTATCCTGTAAGACCTGTGTAGTGGTGATGAATTTTTAACTTCATTTATCTGGGAAACTTTTAATCTCTCCTTCAGTTGTGAGTGATAACCTTGATGAGTAGAATATTCTTGGTTGAAGGTCCTTCTGTCTCAATACATTAAATATTTCACACCACTCCCTTCTGGCCTGTACAGTTTCTGCTAAGAAACCTGCCAATAGCCTTACGGGGTTTCCTTTATAAGTAATTTTTTGCCTCTCTAGCTGCTTTCAGTACTGTCTTTTTATCCTTCATCTGTGTCTTTTTAATTATTATATGCCTTGGTGTTGTCCTCCTGGGTTCTTTCTGTTGTTGTTAGGGGCTTCACGCTTCAGGCTGTTGGCTGCTGGGCTTAGTGGCTGGGTGGCCGGGCAGGTGCACAGGATTGAGCCTTGAGGCTGAGCCTCCAGAGAGGCAGTTGGAGCATTTGGGGCTGGCTCCCATGGGTGCTCGAACAGTGGGACTGAGGGAGGGTTGGGGAAATGTCATCTACCTTCTCCTTTTCGTGCAGAGAGAGCTCTGTCCAACCCCCGCCCCTCTTACATCCCTCCCGCTGCTAGTAATTCCTTTAAACTGCCGCCCCTATGTTGGAGCTCAGCGGGACGACAGAGCTTGTACCTGTACGGGCAGGTAGAGTCTTAGCCTCCCACAGTGCCCCAGCTCTCCCTTGTGTCCAGCCCTGTTAATCACCAAAGTCCAGTGCAATGGACTAGTGTTCCCAGAGCAGTCTCCTCGGCCAGGTGCGCAGAGTTCCTGAGTGCTTCTCCCCTCCCCGCTCACTCCATTCCTTTCCCTCCCACTTGTGGGCTGGGATGTGGGGAGGGCTTGGGTCCCACTCAGCCTCGGTTCTGCTTCTTTACCCTTCTCTGTGTGGTGGTCTCTTCTTCACCAGGTGTAGGTGGTCTGTTCTGCAGTCTCCAGGTTGTTTTCAGGGTTAGTTGTTTTTGCTGTCGTCGCTGCTTTGCTGTGTGTGGAAGGAGGTTTCTGCCTGCCTTCCTACTCCACCATCTCTTATCTGCACCACCTACCCCACACCCAACCCAGTTTTGGATCTTAAGCGGTTGTTTTTCTTTTGATAAGTAGTCATCTTTATCTCATATAAAACAAAGTAGTGGATGTCAGAAATCATAAATCTCATTTAAACCTGAATCCCTCCCTGGCTCTTTTCTCATATCTCTCTTTCTTTTCATTTTCACAGCCACAAAATTCCATCACCAGTTCCTTATCTCCAGTTCACTCTCTGACTCCCTGCAATCTGGTTGCTGCTTTTACCTCTCTTTTGATATTATTTTCAGTAAGATAACTAATGACTTCCTCTTTGTCTTGTCCAGTAGGCTCAACTTAACTAATCTTCAGCCTTAATGTGACTGACTTCTTCCTCTTTTAATTTTTCTCTTCTTTTGTTTTCCATAATGTCAGCTCCTATTTGCCTCTTTCCCTCTCTTATTGTTATTTCAAAATTTTCTTTGGAAGCACTTTTTCCTCTGCCTACTTTTGTGGTGGTTTCTGGGTTTTGAACTCAGCCCTGTGCATCTGCTCTCCCTGGGCAGTCTCATTTACACCCAGGCTGATCTCTGAGGGAGGCATGCATGCTTTTTTATCTTTCTATCTTTGTGTGGAATAGTGTCAGCTACATACTGGTCTGGTCATAAGTAATATTGTTGAGTAGATGACAGTATCATCCAAATGGTATAAATTATTGAAAAATAGCTTAAATTCCATCTTTCAGAGATAACCACAGATCTCATATTGACATATATTTTCTGTCTTTTCTCTATGTAGTGTTTGCATTTCCTGCTATTTTAATTATTTGAAAGTCTACTATCTTTATGTATTTAGGACCCTCTCAACAAAGTCCAAAAATAGGAAGTTTCCTGAACCACCACACAGTGACTTTGAAGATGAAGATGTCAAAGCTGAACGACTAAAGGTCAGAGAGCTGATGAGTTGCCAGTGTTGTGAGGAGGTAAATTTAGTCTTTATTGCTAAGTTGTATTACATGCATGATGATTGTTTCCCTATACATAGGGATTAAAGATAGTTTTCTTTCCATATTAATCAATCTGAAAAAAAGTCTTTCTTTGAAGAAATATTTTTGTCCATTTAATTTTGAATAAGACTTTATTTCAGTCATAGATGGATATTTATACAATATCCCTTATTAGCAGGCACAGTTCTTATTATACAGACATGAATTGTGTACAGCCTGTCATTTCATGATTGGGTTTATAACTCTTAAACCCTATTTCCCTTATTAGAAACCAGCCATTATGGTCAGTAATTTGCATAAAGAATATGATGACAAGAAAGATTTTCTTACAAGAAGAGTAAAGAAAGTGGCAACTAAATACATCTCTTTCTGTGTGAAAAAAGGCTGGTATTTATTTATTCTTAAATAACTCTTTCAAAAGAGTAATTTCCATATTGAGTTTGATTGATGTATGATGATTTTTCTTTCACTTCCTTTAGGAGAGATCTTGGGGCTCTTGGGCCCAAATGGTGCAGGCAAAAGCACGATTATTAATATTCTGGTTGGAAATATTGAACCAACTTCAGGCCAGGTATGATATAGATGATACACATTTATAGACTAATTTACATTTTAATTAAAATAAATTTCTTAAGGACAAATTAGGGTTTTGGTGCCTAAAGTTATATGTTTTTAGTGTTAATTTCTTACTGTAGCTTGATCAAGTTATGATCCTTTTGCTTATCTGTGAAAATTATGTACATAGTGACATACGCATACATGCAGACACACAGTCTACTTTTATCACTATTGTATGCATGGATAATTTGTCCACCACCTTAATGGAAAACAATCATATTAATTCCAGGGAAATACAGCATTTAGTCTTGGCCCCATTGTCAGTTTTGATTATAAACCATCACTCACGACTATGTGGAAATTTCACAGAAGTGCTCTGATCCTTTCTCCTGCTCCTCTCCCTATTTCACACCAGCCTCACTGGCTCAGTGATTCCCTAGAATGTGCCAGGCATGCTCTTGTGGTTTTGCCTTAGCTGTTCCTTACTTCAGCTGTTCCTTACCCCATAGAAATCCAAATGACTAGATTTTCTTACCTCTCCAGCTCAAATACCACCTTTCAGTAAGGCCCTGATCTGATCATCCTAGTTAAAATTGGAGCTTTCTTACCTAGTCACTCTTTCTGGCTATGTCACTGAAATCTGATTTAGCTATGTACTTTCCTCATTAAAGGGAGTAAAAATTTGACCTGATAATGTCCTGGCTCTAGGAAGGAGTTTGAACTAATCCACATACATTTCTTTACAATGTAAATTAAGCAAAAATAGTTATTTGAAATTGATTTGTATTTCTGTAGGTATTTCTAGGAGATGATTCTTCAGACCCCACTGAAGATGATGATTCCATTAAGTGTATGGGATACTGTCCTCAGATAAACCCATTATGGCCAGATATTACATTGCAGGAACATTTTGAAATTTATGGAGCTGTGAAAGGAATGAGTGCAAGTGACATGAAAGAAGTCATAAATCGGTAAAATACAGAATGCTTTTGTTACCTGGAGAAAGGTTTACATTTCACGTTTTTAAAATTTCATCATAGGCATTTCCGTGAATCATAATTTTCATAGAAAATGGTCATCATTTTTTCACACAGTTTTTACTGAATTAAGATACCTATGAAAATAAAAGGATAATGTTTTTATTTCTAATTATAGAATAAATGTACCTATAAATGTCATGAAGCTTAAAGTGTACCTTTTTGTATGTTTTTAGTGTTAATTTCTTACTGTAGCTTGATCAAGTTATGATCCTTTTGCTTATCTGTGAAAATTATGTACATAGTGACATACGCATACATGCAGACACACAGTCTACTTTTATCACTATTGTATGCATGGATAATTTGTCCACCACCTTAATGGAAAACAATCATATTAATTCCAGGGAAATACAGCATTTAGTCTTGGCCCCATTGTCAGTTTTGATTATAAACCATCACTCACGACTATGTGGAAATTTCACAGAAGTGCTCTGATCCTTTCTCCTGCTCCTCTCCCTATTTCACACCAGCCTCACTGGCTCAGTGATTCCCTAGAATGTGCCAGGCATGCTCTTGTGGTTTTGCCTTAGCTGTTCCTTACTTCAGCTGTTCCTTACCCCATAGAAATCCAAATGACTAGATTTTCTTACCTCTCCAGCTCAAATACCACCTTTCAGTAAGGCCCTGATCTGATCATCCTAGTTAAAATTGGAGCTTTCTTACCTAGTCACTCTTTCTGGCTATGTCACTGAAATCTGATTTAGCTATGTACTTTCCTCATTAAAGGGAGTAAAAATTTGACCTGATAATGTCCTGGCTCTAGGAAGGAGTTTGAACTAATCCACATACATTTCTTTACAATGTAAATTAAGCAAAAATAGTTATTTGAAATTGATTTGTATTTCTGTAGGTATTTCTAGGAGATGATTCTTCAGACCCCACTGAAGATGATGATTCCATTAAGTGTATGGGATACTGTCCTCAGATAAACCCATTATGGCCAGATATTACATTGCAGGAACATTTTGAAATTTATGGAGCTGTGAAAGGAATGAGTGCAAGTGACATGAAAGAAGTCATAAATCGGTAAAATACAGAATGCTTTTGTTACCTGGAGAAAGGTTTACATTTCACGTTTTTAAAATTTCATCATAGGCATTTCCGTGAATCATAATTTTCATAGAAAATGGTCATCATTTTTTCACACAGTTTTTACTGAATTAAGATACCTATGAAAATAAAAGGATAATGTTTTTATTTCTAATTATAGAATAAATGTACCTATAAATGTCATGAAGCTTAAAGTGTACCTTTTTGTCAAGATACTAATTTGTTAAAAATGATGTAAACTGGAGGTCTAATTATATAGTAAGCTTCCACTGAGGGTTCTAGAAAAAGGTCAGTGATTACAAACGATGAGCGATAATTGCCTCACTTGCTGTTACCTATTTTGCAGTATAACAAATGCACTTGACTTAAAAGAACATCTTCATAAAACTATAAAGAAATTACCTGCAGGAATCAAGCGAAAGGTACTTTTATTAAACAACAAATATATTGTTGTTTTATTGACAGTTTAATGCCTGATACTGTCTTGATAAAATTCCTAATAGTGAAGCTTTATTAGTCCCTCCCTGCCCTGTTTTCTTTCCGTCTAGTTGTGTTTTGCCCTAAGTATGCTGGGGAATCCTCTGATTACTCTGCTAGATGAACCATCAACAGGTATGGATCCTAAAGCCAAACAGCACATGTGGTGAGTATGACACTGAAGACACTTCAGACAGATTGTACTGTTCATACTGTAGAATAAAGGAATAGTTTATTATATTATAACCTTGGCTCTATGTTAAATATTGATTAAAGTCATACACAAATGATAAAAAGTACTCCAAAATCTAGAGAATTCCTTAAACTTTTTTAACTTTATCATATTTTTCATGAAGCATTAATATTTTATATAATCCAGAACAAAAACAAGTATACAGGTAATTATTTTAAAAAGAGTATTGCTGTCTGAATAGTTTTTAAAAGGTTTTTTCCTAGTCATTTAGCATATTATTATGATTCTTTCTCATAATAATATTGTCTTGCATTTATATTGGTAGTCTTTCTAGGAATTTACCAACTCTTTGCTCCTAGCCTTCCATGTCTATAAAATGTAAGGTTTGGCTTTGATGCATGTTAAGGTTTCCCTGTGATTCTGTGGTTGTTTTTGTTATAATGTGAAAAGGCATCAGTTTTTATAATTCATTTTTTTAATGCCTAGAAACATTTGAAATTAAGGGATTTCTCTCTACTTCACAAGCTTTCAAAAATAATGGAAAATAAATTACAATAGAAAAATCATAGTTGGGCAGAATATAAAAACTATAGCAATTGATATTTCAAATATGTTAACTAACCTAATTACTAAATAGTTGGATTTTTTTAAAGTCTAGTTACTTTCATTAACAGTCAGATACTGTCCTGTCTTCTTATTTATGTTTTACAGGCGAGCAATTCGAACTGCATTTAAAAACAAAAAGCGGGCTGCTGTTCTGACCACTCATTATATGGAGGAGGCAGAGGCTGTCTGTGACCGAGTGGCTATCATGGTATCTGGGCAGTTAAGGTAGATGTCTGAACAGCATGCTCTGTGGCTGGGTGGGTGCGTGGGAGGTAGATTTTGAATGTTACTTGAAAAACTTATAATAACACATATTAATTTAAATACTTTAAAAAAGTTTCCTTGAGTTTTTGAATCAATTAGCTTTCTATAGAATTAGAACTAGCCAAAAAATGGCTAGTTTGCATTTGAAATTAGCTTAATTGTTCAACAGTTCACTGTGTTACTTTCAGGCATGATATTTGTTATTTAAATAAATTGCTAGGCTTCATATTAGGTAATAACCCAAAGTATAAAATCCATATACTTAAGTTCATAATCATATACCTAAAGGATTGAATAAATAAATAAGTGTGGTAGAAGGGATAAGTCTTCCTTACAGAGAGATTCTGAATAATATATGTAGATACTACCCCCTCCAGGCGGGGTTGCTTAATCCCTCACCTCCCAGGTATCTTCTGGACTTAGACAGTATCTTCTGATATATGAAGAGGTGAAGACTGTAACTTTACAGTAGAGAAACCTGACACATAACTCAATCATGTACCCCTGATGTGATGTGATAGGAAAGCTACTTCACTAATGTGGTATTTTTCCCCAAAACCTGTGTAACCACAGTCTAATCAGGAGAAAAATACCAGACTAGTCCAAATTAAGGGCATTCTACCAAGACATTTGACCAGTTTTCAGAAATGTCAGGGTCAGAAAGAAGAAGAAAAGGGTAAGAAACTGTCACAGACCAAAGGAGACATGGCAGCTAAGTGCAACCCTGGATAGATCCTGGGGCAGAAAAAGGGCATTAGCAGAAAAACTGATGAAATCAAATAAAGTCAAATAAAGTTAATAGTGATATACCAATGTTGGCTTCTTCATTTTGACCAATGTGCCATGGTAATATAAGATGATACTATTACAGAAACTGAAACTGGAGGAGGGGTGTATGGAGACTCTGTATTATATTTGCAACTTTTCTATAAGTTTAAAAGTATTCCATCATAAACATTTTGCTTAAATCATTCTTTGAGAGATTCTTTGAAACTGTCAAATTGTTTTATGTCTGAGCTTTCTTTTAAATACTACTACAGATGTATTGGAACAGTCCAACATCTGAAGAGTAAATTTGGAAAAGGCTACTTTTTGGAAATTAAATTAAAGGATTGGATAGAAAACCTGGAAATAGATCACCTCCAAAGAGAAATTCAATATATTTTCCCAAATGCAAGCCGACAGGAAAGGTAAAGATTTTTAAAATTCTGTAATATTTCTTTGTAGAGCAGTAATCATAGAAATTGGTTACTGAGGATTAGGGGTGAAAAGTCTGTTACCAATATTGCACTAATGGAGTCTGACGACTGGAGCTTTCTATCTAACTTAATGTTAGATCTTTCAATATTCAGTAGTAGTTAAACTGTAAACTTCTTCAGTAGTAATGACAGTTACTGTATTCTGCATGAAACCTTAAGATTTCAAATAGTTTATGCCCAAGTAAGTATCAAAATAAGTTACTGGATTTTAATTTTGAATTTAAAAATTTAACTTTTAAAATTTACACTTTAGCTTTACACAGTAGTAGTTATTTTTTACTTTTCCTATATTTCATCTTATCTTTGTTTACAGTTTTTCCTCTATTTTGGCTTATAAAATTCCTAAAGAAGATGTTCAGTCCCTTTCACAATCTTTTTCTAAGCTGGAAGAAGGTAAGTAGTATTTGAAACATGGTTAAATAGCTTCCAAATTACAAAAGAATTTTACTGAAAAGCTTAGAAGTTGGGACTCAGTTTATTGTAGAAATAAAATATTGTAAATAAAAAGATGCTCTTTTATTATTTTAATATACTAATACTAATAAGGATTTGGTAGACCAACTATATATAGTGTAAACCTTTTACTTTCTTTAGCAGACATCACCACAGTTTTTCACATTGCATCTGTGTGAAATTTCGACTTAATTAGCCCCACTAGATGATTGGAAAAGTGGGAGCATTGAGTTTCTTGAATCCTTATTTCATATTTGGGCATAGCAGTAGCAATGTCAGACTCCAGTGTCAGCAGGAGAGAAGAGAGGAAAATTCATAGTACAGGAAGGGAGAGGGTGTCCTAAAAGCTTTAGAGAAGCTTTTTGAATCTTGACAGTTTTAAATAAATGGTAGGTATGACAAAAGATGTGCTGGTGGCAGTGGAGAGACATAAGCTCCTGGATCGGGCAAGTATTCATGTATAGTTTATTTTGTGTCTTTTACAAACTGTGAAACAGCCTCTGTTTTCTGGTAATTTCTTTCTGATTAAATTAAACACCTAAACTATTTAGGGAGAATTAAATTAAAGGAATGAAGAGAAAACCAGAAAATTTGGTATTAGATTGAAATAAATATAAAAATGTATATGGGCATATGTACAGTTTTTCATAATCCAGTTAAAGAAGAAAGAATAGGCTGTATTGGAATTAGGGAATGGGAGAAAAAGTAGGGGTCAGAAGAAATCATTAAAAAAAGGAATAATGAGGAAGAAGACAGAAGGTAAAGAGGTGCTTGGAAAGGGCGCAGTAAAGTATGTGACCTGAAGTGGAGCTCGGACTTTGAAGGAGGCGCTGGGTGGGGAAGAGAAAGGGAGCGAGACAAAGGAAAAGAATATGCTCCGCAGCTACGAATCCGAATCAGTTAATTTCAGAGATTTAAAAAAATAGATTGTTAGTCCCTTACTAGTTACTGTCATTTTTCTTCTTTGCAAATACTAACAAGTAAAATGCTGTTTTTATGTTTTAATAGCTAAACATACTTTTGCCATTGAAGAATATAGTTTTTCTCAAGCAACATTGGAACAGGTACTATAAAACTAAATTTTAAAAAATTCTTTCAAATAAGAAAGTGTAAAGTGTCTGATATCTTAATGTTCAGGATCATTTTGGAGAGGGAGGGATTTTGTGAACTAGAGAAAAATTGTCATACAATATTCCTAAAGTTTGTGTAGTTTTTTAAATTGAGCTACATACAACGAAATGCACAAACCTTAATGCACAGCTTGATGAGTACCGTGTGCGCACACTCACGTAGCCGCCGTCCTGATCAGAATAGCAAACTTTCTCACTGATTTTTTTCCCTCCACCTATTTCATCCATCCCCTTACCCCCCATCTCTATGGTATTCTTTGTGTAATTTTAAGCAACTTCAAGTTCTGCTTATTTTGAATAGCTCAGTTTTTTTCAGTTTAATAAAGAGAATGTGTCATGACAAAAATGGATCATAGTAGCAGCATATCTGAAGTTACGTTTATTTCTAATGATTACATTTACATATATTTATAAAATTTTTGTGAGTGTTAAATATATTAATCAAAAGTCTATTAGTCTAAAATAACATTCATCTTTGTGATTAATGATTAGTCTGTTTAAATAATATTAATAGCAACAAATCTTGATAGCTGATTAATGTAATTAGATATTGTTTTATACCTTTTATGACTTAGTTAAAAATTCTTTGAGATATTTGTGACACAGAATTCTATATTCATTTATTTACTCTTATTTAGGTTTTTGTAGAACTCACTAAAGAACAAGAGGAAGAAGATAATAGTTGTGGAACTTTAAACAGCACACTTTGGTGGGAAAGAACACAGGAAGACAGAGTAGTATTTTGAATTTGTGTTTCTCAGTCTGCTTACAGAAATCTTTTCACTTTGGTTTAAAAAGTATATTATTTGAATGGTAACTGAAGAACCATGAAAGCACTTGGGATTTCCCTAATAAGTTCCTTAGTTGAATTGCTGTGGTGTTGTGTATTTTCCTTTTCTTCAAATAAAACTTACATATAATAAATTGAACTGCATGTTTGTATCTAGGGAATGTTGAACTGTAGTCTGTATGTAAACTGAGTATTTATCTTTCAAAAACAGTGCTTCTAAATTTATGGTTTAAAAAATAGTGGTAGAATAAATTTTATTTTGAACAGTTATCTTTAAGTTAATATCATCTTGTTACATAAGTATGTAATGTCCCAATTTAAATGAAAAACTAATACATAAATAACACATAGCAAAAGAGATTATAAAGCAAAAGTTTCTTGCTTCTCCTAAAAAGCTAACAGCACTGGACAATCTTAGTGCAGAGGTTTGCAGGAAGTGACATCCGGTAGGTGGCGCCCATCGATCATAAATGAAGTGAGGCTTTGTTCTTCTATTAGGTGATTTTAGACTTAAGTCCCACAAGTATTTGAAGAAACAATTCTTCTGCTTACACTAAGTAAAATTCAGAGGTGTTTTAATTATTATAACTAAAGGAAGACTATGTCTAGGATATTATTTTTGTAATAGTCTGATTCTTTGTGGCTAGAATGACAGATATCTATAGAGTTGGAAGAATTAGCCATCCCTTTTCCTCCACCCCACATGGAAGATAAAAAAATTTTTGTCATCTTCCTTCTAAAGGGTGCATTTTATTTTATTCCAGAATAAAATAATTTTTTGGGTAACCATTTTATTGGTGAACTTTATTTAAATCTCTCTCTCTATAGAGTTTTAAGTATATAGTGTAGAGATTTAATTAGTAACTCACCTCAGATTTGCTTTGGAACATGATGGGATATATAAATAAACTTCTGGGGGTTAAATTCAGGACTAGAAGTAAACTATATATAATTCTCTTTAACAGGAAACCAGAATTTCTCTGTGTCAGAGCTGAAGTATGGTTATGGTTAATGTAATCTTAGAAATACTTCCTTGTAGAACCCCTGTATGGACTATAGGTATAATATAAATAATACTAGCTGACATTGTATTTCATCCAGATGAATAAAAATACCAACTTTTTGAGAACATATGCATTGGGAGTATGAATATTGCATTATAAAAAGTCTTATAAAACAGTAACAGAAGAATTTGATTCTGAGTTTCTTTAAATGCTCAAACCCTTTAATTCTTAACTCTTTCATGTAGGTAAAAACTAAATGAACTTTTAGCTCTACTGTATAATAAGACATCTGTGATTTTAGGCTGTAGCAGCTGACTTAAGTGTTCTTTTCTCAGTCTCAGTACAAGGTACATGACTGGTACTTTCCACCCCATTGCTTTGGGGTGCAACTTCTGTGTACATTTCTAAAGATACCTACTTCACCAGCTGTCTCAGAGGTCTAACTAATTCAAATGAGCTGCCTTACAGTCTCTGGATTTTATGACCCACAGCTAAGGTATTTTTCCTTGTAGATTTAGTTGACACTAGTTTTTAAAGTTATCAAGTGACAATCACATGCCTCATGATAACAAGCTTTTGGATTCTTCACCTGAGAATCTCACTTTTACATCTTCAGTAAAAGTTAATAACTTTGACTGAACTTCAGTACTGCATGAGGAATACAGTCACATTTCAAACAAAATCGTTACCTTTGTAGATACATTAATAAACAGCACATTGCATTTTCTAAACAAGTCATTGTTAAATGGTGCCATTAATTTAAAGGGATATTTTTTAGTATGTAAGAACCCAGGGGCTTCTCTTGGGATGTGTTTTTGTAGCTATGGATTACCTTGAGCATTTAGTGTATAAAGCAGAATTACTTGCAGTTTACTAGGGCAGTCCCTGAAAAGGTAGTTTTTGAGAACCTGACCATACTGAGAAAGATGTGTTATTTTAAAATCGAAAATGGCGAACACAGACATTACCTGCTTATGCTTATTGACTCGGTCACCTTCACTGTGAATGACTGATCAATGTAAATCAAGTAAAACTTTTTTGCTGCAAAAAGAAAGTTGAGATTATGCCGACTAGTCATAATCATGTTCTTATCTGTTATGTTCATCAGTTACTTTTCTATTAATACGCTCTTGGAAGCATTAAAAGACATTTGAATTAATTTTTTTAGTTTTTACATATTTAGAGTAAGTTTATTTTTGCCATGAATTATTTGTGGAACAATTCTTTCCCTCTTTCAGAGTAATACAACCTTTCCTATTTAGAAGTATTAATACTTAGGAAAGAAGAATAAGTGGGGTGGGAAGAAAAGGAGATAAAGTCAAATGTGAAGTTCATCTGCGCTTACAATGTATAGTTCATGTTCCAAGCATATACTTATCTCAAAATCTTAAATTACTGATATCAAAACTTTTTCTATACCAGTACATGTATATAAAAACACATATTTAGGCAAATATTCGGAAAACAGCATCACCTAATTTGTATTTTCCATCCACAGTCAAACTTTAAAAGTAAAGACTGGACTTTACTAAGTGACTGTAGTTACTGACCAATAAGGTGAACCTCTGTCTGCAGCCGTTGGGACCCAAGCCGTCCATTAAACAGTGGGAAACCGCCACGATGAGTGCGCTTCATACTTCTGTCTGTGGGCTCTTTGGGTTCTTTGCATAAAAGAGGACTGTTCATTTTGGCTCCATAAGATCTTACAGTCTAGTAGGAGGAAAATAATACTTCTATAACTAACTATATCACAAATGCTATGCTAGTGGCACTAACACTATTTTATTGGAGCGCAATTAATCCTACTTGGTGTGAGTGACACTGTGTTGTTTTTCCATGGGTCACACATTTCATTGTGATTGTACTTGATCTGATGAAATGCTTTGCTATGTTTTTCATGTAACATAAATAGGGATTAATTTTTGAAAAATAGAAATGCTTATCCTTAATGTATTTTTAATATTGCTACTACAGATTTTTCATTTTCTTTCCTGAAAGAGCCTATTACATAAAATGAACTTATTCTCAGGTGAATAATTTTTGTATCAGCTATTCTTACAAGGTAAAAGTTTACTTATTTTTTATTCATGATGTGTTATATGTAATTCTCAGAGCTGCCCTTTAAGGAAAATAAATATGATTATATTATGAACAATTAACTTTAAGACCTGAAAATTGAAGACAGCCTTTCATTTTGTATGCTGAAATGTATTTTTTGTTATTTATGTTGATAAATGAATAATGAGTGGCTCATATTAAAAATTAAGAAAAAAAACTGGCACTAAAATTGTAATTACTTTTTTTTTTGTATCTGTTAGTTTTCAAGTACATAAGGAATGTTGGCAGTTACTTGTATTTTAATTTACATTCCTGTTTAAACTTAAAGTAGACTTTCTTATACATCTTTTTATCTCAAATCTATTTTGTGAATATATAATTGTAAAGCAGTTTCTTTCAGTTACATTTTATTACATTTAACAGATAAATACCAAATATTTAACACTACTTATATATTTATCAATTTCCTTCAAATTTTTTAATAAATCTGATCTCTCAAACACTTAGACAATATTTTTAATTTAATGAACAAATCTTACCAAGCACCTAAGCAACTCTTGCAAATGCAATCATCTTTTTTAATTAAGCAAATAAACAATTTCAGACATTTTAAAAATAACATACACAAAGTGACATGAATAGAAGGTGGCTTGCTGGTAGCACTTACCTAAAAAAGGGATTCCAAAAAAATCAAAACAATAATTGGAAGCAATTTTTCTCGCCATGTCTACACATGTAGTTCCTTAGGGTTTACTAGTAGAAGGGCCATTTCAGCTCAGCAAAGCTCACCTCTTGATAACTTCAGACTAAGGAATGCTGGTCAGGTTTCTCATTTAATGACTGCAATTAGTCAAGGGCTATCTAAAGGAAATTAAATACTAATTAAGCATAAAATCTGGATCTACCTTCAGAGAGTAATTGGTAACTATTCAGGTGACCCTGTTATGTTCAAGCAATTTTTTGAGCTTTCAGCTATGGCGATTTTAAAGTTTCAGGTTTTTGCAACCCAGTATTTTTCCTTAAGACAAGATACCACTTAAGTTGTATTGGTAGGTTTCACCTAAATTTGTGATAAGAAGATTTTCCAAGTTCTGTGTTGTGATTATAGCATAACCTTCTAAATTAAAGACTAGCAAAATGCATCCCTCAGTTGGGGTACAATTTTAATTCCCTTTTTGTTTTATAATTGTATCAATACTGTGGTCATTTTACTAACAATGATATTCTGGATCGCTTTACTAATTCATACTAATGTCTTTGTCACATAGTTGTAGGAAAGAATGAATGCTGATTTTCCTATTCATGTATTAGCTAGTAATTTTTTGGCCAAATTATACTACTAATATTATATAATTATGAAATTGATGTTGGTTTTCTATTGACTACATCCAACACACATCAGCGGTATACGAAGTGAAGTATGTGATTGAAGGAAGTAAAAATTATTCTTGGACAAGCTTTACAAATTGATAAACCCTAAATTGTTATGTCCTTATATTTTTTAATTTTTAAAGATTTAAAAATTTTTAATGAATAGGTAATACATGCAACATGGCTCGAAATTTAAAAGTGAAAAGTAAGGCGCCCTTGCTCTTCTGCTTTCCAGAAAAAGAGTAAATCAGAGTTAAAATGGAAATTGTCTTCAGATATTGGTGGGTATAGCTTTTATTTGGCTGATTTAAGTGTTACAACTTTAAAAAGGCTGACTTGTAACCATGAAATATACATGCTTCAGAATTTACCTTCCCCAAGTCAGGTATTGGGTAGTCCTTCAGAACTATCCATGATAGTATCCAAACCTTCAAAGGTTCAAACAAATAATGCTTTTCCCTAACATTCATGTTTTCACAAGTTTTATTGAATGCCTATTGTGAATCAGCACTATTATAAACACAGGTTACATTATTGAAACAATAAGCAAAAATTTCTGCCATCACTAAACTTTTATTATAGCATAGAGAGGCAAACTACTAAAAAATATCTGTAATGTGTTAGATGGTAAAAAGATACAGGAATTGGTGTGAGAGTGGGTGTTACAGGTGAGACCACACCGAGATGGTAACAGCACAATGACAAGGTGAGTTGGTGAAAGAGCTTTGCAGAAAGAACAGCAAGTTGCTGAGGCAGTGTGTGTGTGTGTGACATATTTGAGAAAGAAAGAGGACCAGTGAGGCTTGAGAGGACTAATCAAGGGGGACCCTTATGGACATCATGTCTGAGTGCATTCAGAAATCCCCGGAGGTTTTGAGTAGAGCAGTGACGTCATCCAGCGTTTGACCCGGAACAGTTTAGCTGTTGTGGTGAATATAAATAGGATGCGGTAGAGGTGAGGGTGGTGGCAGGAGTAAGGAAGACTTCTCCTTTTCACTAGGCAGGAAGTCAGGATGAGCGAATCAGAAAGTGGTTATGAAATGCAAGTGGTAGGAAGTGGTTGGGGGTCTCAGTGTTTTGAAGGTAGAGGATATAGGGTGAGGGGAAGATGGTCACTGACTCCCGAGTTGTTTTTGTCTGAACTAGAGTGGAATTGTGATCTGTTATCTCTTTGACTCCATCTTCTAGTATCACCAGATGGGATGAAGAGCATGGAAATTCAGGTATAGGATGTGGGGAAAAGATCAGGAATCAATTTTGGATGGAAGTTTGAAATGTCCATTAGACATGTGAGTGGATATGTCCAGTAAGCAAAGGAAATAAACATCTGAAAAGCAGTGTCAGTTTTTGGGCCCCACTCTTACCGAGAGTCAAGCAGTAGAGTAGGAAGTGCAGCAGGTCCTAACAACAGTGAAGTAGATAACATTAAAGTACACAGCCAGGGCCTCAGATCCCACCCAGGGTAAGGAAGTCCTGAGAGCAGGTTCGAGACCTGACCCAAGCGTTGGCTGCAGAGGAATTGAAGGAAATTGTAAAGTGCACAGGACCAAACCACCAGAAAGAGGGAGATGCCTTTGAAAGGGGAACCATCACTTGGTGACCCGGTGATGTAGGGAAATCAGGCAGCAGAAGAGGTCTACAGAAAGACGTGGAAGACAGACGGTCAAACCTCTTCGCATGGTGCTGTTTACTAAAGGAACGATTTCGTCTTAGCAGCGGAGAGGGCTCCGGTCTAGAAACAGCCCCTTGAGAACCGCTGGTGCTGCCCTCTGCTGGATGTGGCGATGAGCCATCTATGCGCTTCATGGAACGGGGAGCATTTAGCTAGTGAGAGGGCTACCAGAAAACAGGCCCCCGGGGCAGCGCGATGAGACGAACACAAACCCCATTCTAGGGTCTGCACTGAACCCCCTTCCTGGCCATTTGCCCAACAGGGGGGGTCAAGTCATGAAGTGACTTGGCCGGAGTTGTGCTGGGCTTGCAGAGAGAAGATAGGGACTGTACCACTCAGGAGCCGCAGGGCCTACCCGCCTCCACCCACAGGAGCTTGGAGAGTACCCAGCACTGGGTTCTGAGGGTACTTGAGCAAGTAAGTGGTGCCCAACACGAAGTTGGATTAGAAGAAGTATGTATATGGGAGCACTCGGGGCAGGCAGGATTTTCAACACCGTGGCAGGAACCCCAGGAGAGGG